ATGGGGACAGGGGACATCACCCATGGGGACAGGGACATCACCCATGGGGACAGGGACACCACTCATGGGGACAGGGACATCACCCATGGGGACAGGGACAGGGACATCACCCATGGGGACAGGGGACACACCCATGGGGACAGAGGGACATCACCCATGGGGACAGGGACAGGGGGACATCACCCATGGGGACAGGGACAAGGACAGGGACAGCCCCACGTCCCCCCCCAGAGCCAGCAGCCGCGTGGACAGACGGACAGCAGCTGCAGGGTCACCTGGGGACAGGGGGACATCACCCATGGGGACAGGGACATCACCCATGGGGACAGGGACACCACCCATGGGGACAGGGACAGGGACAGCCCCACGTCCCCCCCCAGCGCCAGCAGCTGCGTGGACAGACGGACAGCGGCTGCAGGGTCACCTGGGGACAGAGGGGGACATCACCCATGGGGACAGGGACAGCACCCATGGGGACAGGGACAGGGACAAGGACAGGGACAGCCCCACGTCCCCCCCCAGAGCCAGCAGCCGCGTGGACAGACGGACAGCAGCTGCAGGGTCACCTGGGGACAGGGGGACATCACCCATGGGGACAGGGACAGCCCCACGTCCCACCAGGGCCAGCAGCCGCGTGGACAGACGGACAGCGGCCACGGGGTCACCTGGGGACACGAGGGGGACACCCTGAGTGGGGACAGGGACAGGGACACACCCATGGGGACAGGGACAGGGACACACCCATGGGTACAGGGACAACCGGCACAGCCCTGAGTCCCAGCAGCCACGTGGACAGACGGACAGCGGCTGCGGGGTCACCTGGGGACAGGGGGACATCACCCATGGGGACAGGGACAGGGACAGGGGACATCACCCATGGGGACAGGGATGGTGGGATAGGGACACACCCATGGGGAACAGGGACTAGGGACGAGGGACAGCCTCACGTCCACTAGGGACCAGCAGCCGCGTGGACAGACGGACAGCGGCTGCAGGGACACTGGGGACACGATGGGGACACCTGAGATAGGGGACATGGGGACAGGGACACGGGATGCCAAGAGTGGGGACACGGGACACCTGAGTGGGGACGGGGACACTGAGAGTGGGACAGGGATGGGGACAGGAGGACACCAAGAGTGGGGACACTGGGATGGTGGGAATGGGGACACCGGGGTCACAGGGACATTGGGGTCATGGGGACACAGGGATGGTGGGAATGGGGACACTGGGGACACAGGGACACTGGGGCCATGGGGACACTGAGGACATTGGGATGGTGGAATGGGGACACTGAGGGACACAGGGACACTGGGGACAGAGGCACACAGGGCCAAGGTGCCCCCCGTGCCACACCCACCCACGCCGTGGGCGCCGGCCTTGCAGGCGTAGTGCAGGAGGGTCATGTCCGTCAGTCCGTCCCGGTCGTCCACGTGGCACCCCCGGCGCAGGATCTGCCCGGGGACAGAGGGGACACCAGTCAGGGACACCCAGGGACAACGGGGACAGAGGGGACACCAGCTCAGGGACACCCCAGGGACACCGGGGACAGAGGGGACACCAGTCAGGGACACCCCAGGGACCGGGGACAGACAGGGACACCGCTCAGGGACACCCCAGGGACACCGGGGACACACCAGGGACACCGGGGACAGAGGGGACACCGCTCAGGGACACCCCAGGGACACCCCAGGGACACCACTCAGGGACACCCCAGGGACACTGGGGACACCAGGGACACCCCAGGGACACTCCAGGGACACCCCAGGGACACCGGGGACAGAGGGGACACCGCTCAGGGACATCCCAGGGACACCGGGGACACCAGGGACACCAGTCACACCCCAGGGACACTGGGGACAGAGGGGGACACACCAGGGACACCCCAGGGACACCAGGGACAGGGGACACTGCTCAGGGACAACAGGGACACCGGGGACAGAGGGGGACACCGCTCAGGGACACCCCAGGGACAGAGGGGACACCGCTCAGGGACACCCCAGGGACAGACAGGGACAGAGGGGACACCGCTCAGGGACACCCCAGGGACAGAGGGGACACCCCAGGGACACTGGGGACACACCAGGGACACCAGGGACAGAGGGGACACCGCTCAGGGACACCCCAGGGACAGAGGGGACACCCCAGGGACACCGCTCAGGGACACCCCAGGGACACCAGGGACACACCAGGGACAGACAGGGACACCCCTCAGTGCCACCCTGGGGACACTGGGGACACCAGGGACACCCCAGGGACACTGGGGACACACCAGGGACACTCCAGGGACACCCCAGGGACACCAGGGACACCCCAGGGACACCAGGGACACCAGTCACACCCCAGGGACACCGGGGACAGACGGGGACACCGCTCAGTGCCACCCTGGGGACACTGGGGACACCAGTCACACCCCAGGCACACCCAGGGACAGACTGGGGACAGCACAGGGACACACCAGGCCAGGGACACACCAGGGACACCAGGGACAGATGGGGACACTGCTCAGTGACACCCCAAAACCCCTCAGTTTCCCCCAGACCGCCCCAGACCCTCCCTCCCCACCTCATTGCCGATGACATCCACGCTGTGCTGCACTTGGGGCACCCCCAAACCCCCCAAACCCCCTCAATTCCCCCAAACCCCTCCCAAACCCCCAAAACCCCAAATCACCTCATTGCCGATGACATCCACACTGTGCTGCACTTGGGGTACCCCCAAACCCCCAAACCCCCTCAATTCCCCCAAACACCCCAAACCCCCAAATCACCTCGTTGCCGATGACATCCACACTGTGCTGCACCTGGGGCACCCCCAAACCCCCAGACCCCCAATTCCACCCAAACCCCCAAATCCCCCAAATCACCTCATTCCCAATGACATCCACGCTGTGCTGCACTTGGGGCACCCCAAACCCCATAAACCCCCCAGACCCCCCAAACCCCCAAATCACCTCATTCCCGATGACATCCACGCTGTGCTGCACCTGGGGCACCCCAAACCCCCAGACCCCCAATTCCACCCAAACCCCCAAACCCCCAAATCACCTCGTTGCCGATGACATCCACGCTGTGCTGCACTTGGGGCACCCCCAGACCCCATAAAACCTCCCCAATCCCCCAAATGACCTCATTCCCGATGACATCCACGCTGTACTGCACTTGGGGCACCCCCAAAACCCCCAGACCCACCCAGACCCCCAAACCCCCAAATGACCTCGTTGCCAGTGACATCCACACTGTGCTGCACTTGGGGCACCCCAAACCCCCAGACCCCATAAACCCCCAATCCCCCAAATGACCTCATTCCCGATGACATCCACGCTGTGCTGCACTTGGGGCACCCCAAACCCCCAGACCCCCTTAAACCCCCAAACCCCAAACAATCCCCCAAACCCCCCAAATGACCTCATTGCCGATGACATCCATGCTGTGCTGCACTTGGGGCACCCCAAACCCCACCCCCAAACCCCCCAAATGACCTCATTGCCGATGACATCCACGCTGTGCTGCACTTGGGGCACCCCCAAACCCCCCCCCCAGACCCCCCAAATGACCTCATTGCCGATGACATCCACGCTGTGCTGCACTTGGGGCACCCCCAAACCCCCAGACCCCCAAACCCCCAGATGACCTCATTGCCGATGACATCCATGCTGTGCTGCACTTGGGGCACCCCAACCCCCAGACCCCATACCCAAACCCCCCAAACCCCCAAATGACCTCGTTGCCGATGACATCCACGCTGTGCTGCACTTGGGGCACCCCAAACCCCCAAACCCCCAAACCCCCCAAATGACCTCATTGCCGATGACATCCACGCTGTGCTGCACTTGGGGCACCCCAAACCCCATAAAACCCCCAGACCCCATAAAACCCCCAGACCCATAAACCCCCAAATGACCTCATTCCCAATGACATCCACGCTGTGCTGCACTTGGGGCACCCCCAAACCCCCAGACCCCCCAAACCCCCAAATGACCTCATTGCCGATGACATCCACGCTGTGCTGCACTTGGGGCACCCCCAGACCCCCAGACCCCCCAAACCCCCCAGATGACCTCATTGCCGATGACATCCACGCTGTGCTGCACTTGGGCACCCCAAACCCCCAAACCCCCAGACCCCATAAAACCCCCAAATGACCTCATTGCCGATGACATCCACGCTGTGCTGCACTTGGGGCACCCCAAACCCCCAGACCTCCCAAACCCCCAGATCACCTCATTGCCGATGACATCCACGCTGTGCTGCACTTGGGGCACCCCCAAACCCCCAGACTCAAACCCCCCAAATGACCTCATTGCCGATGACATCCACGCTGTGCTGCACTTGGGGCACCCCAAACCCCCAAACCCTAACCCCCAAACCCCCAAATGACCTCATTGCCGATGACATCCACGCTGTGCTGCACTTGGGGCACCCCAAACCCCCTAAACCCCCCAGACCCCATAAAACCCCCAAATGACCTCGTTGCCGATGACATCCACGCTGTGCTGCACTTAGGGCACCCCAGCCCCAGACCCCATAAAACCCCCAAATGACCTCATTGCCGATGACATCCACGCTGTGCTGCACTTGGGGCACCCCTAAACCCCATAAACACCCTAGACCCCCCAAACCCCCAAATGACCTCATTCCCGATGACATCCACGCTGTGCTGCACTTGGGGCACCCCAGACCCCATAACCCCCAGACCCCCAAACCCCCCAAATGACCTCATTGCCGATGACATCCACGCTGTGCTGCACTTGGGGCACCCCCAGACCCCCAGACCCCCCAGACCCCCAAATGACCTCATTGCCGATGACATCCACGCTGTGCTGCGCTTAGGGCACCCCAGACCCCCAGACCCCCAAACCCCCCAAATGACCTCATTGCCGATGACATCCACGCTGTGCTGCACTTGGGACACCCCCAAACCCCAGCCCCCCTAGACCCCCAAATGACCCTCATTGCCGATGACATCCACGCTGTGCTGCACTTAGGGCACCCCAAACCCCCAGACCCCACAAACCCCCCCAAATGACCTCATTGCCGATGACATCCACGCTGTGCTGCACTTGGGGCACCCCCAAACCCCCAGACCCATATCCCCAAACCCCCCAAATGACCTCGTTGCCGATGACATCCACGCTGTGCTGCACTTGGGGCACCCACTGGCGCAGGATGGCGTAACAGTTGAGGACGCTGGTCCGGGGTCCAGCAGGATCTCCCGACACGCCGCGTCGTTGGGGTCGAAGAACGTGAAGGCTGAAGGTTTTGGGAGGGTGGGGGTGGTGAGGGATAAAAGTTTTGGGGGTGGTACAGACCCCTGTCAGCCGTAAGGGACCCCTCCCACCTCCCACCCCATACAGCTGGGAGGGGTTTTTGGGGGCAGGAGTTTTTGTGGCCTGGGGGACGGGGGAGGTCCCTGTGGCCTTGGGGTGTCCTGTGTCCTGGGGTCTCATCCCTGGGGGTTCCCCCTGCCCTGGAGGGGGTCCCTGTGCCTTTGAGGGGGTCCCTGTACCCTTGGGGTCATCCCTGTGCCTTGAGGGGTCCCTGTGCCCTGGGGGGTTCCTCCATACCCTGAGGGGTTCCCCCATACCCTGGGGGTTCCCCCATACCCTGGGGGTTCCTGTGCCCTGGGGAGGGTTCCCCATACCCTGGGGGTCCCCCATAGTCGGGAAATCCCATCCCCTGGGGGCAGGGGTTTGGGGAGGGAGTTTTTGGGGGTCTCACCATGGTCCTTGGGAGGGGTCCCTGTGCCCTGGGGAGGGAGTCCCATCCCTGGGGGCAGGGGAATGGGGAGGGGTTTTCTGGGGGTCTCACTGTAGTCCTGGGAGGGGTCCCTGTGCCCTGGGGGTCCCTGTGCCCTGGGGTGTCCCATCCCCTGAGGGGGGTTGTGCCCCATCCCCTGGGGGCAGGGGGTTTTTGGGGGTCCCTGTGCCCTGGGGGTTAGTTCCATCCCCTGGGGGCAGGGGGATGAGGGTTTTGAGGGGGTCTCACCGTAGTCCTAGGGAGGGGTCCCTGTGGGGTTCCCATCCCTGGGGGCAGGGGGTTTGGGGAGGGGTTTTTTGGGGGGTCTCACTGTAGTCCTTGGGGAGGGGTCCCTGTGCCCTGAGGGGTTGTAGCCCCATCCCCTGGGGCAGGGGGATGGGGAGGGGTTTTGGGTGGGGGTCCACCATAGTCCTTGGGAGGGGTCCCTGTGCCCTGAGGGGTTGTGCCCCATCCCCTGGGGGCAGGGGAATGGGGAGGGGTTTTTGGGGGTCCCTGTGCCCTGGGGGTTGTGCCCCATCCCCTGGGGGCAGGGGAATGGGAGGGTTTTGGGGGTCCTGTGCCTGGTTGGCCCATCCCTGGGGCAGGGGAATGGGGGGGTTTTTGGGGGCCCTGTGCCCTGGGGCTGGCCCCATCCCTGGGGGCAGTGGGGATGGGGAGGGTTTTGAGGGGGTCTCACCGTAGTCCTGGGGAGGGGTCGCTGTCGGGGTGTCCCATCCCCTGGGGCAGGGGTTTCGGGAGGGGTTTTGGGGGTCCCTGTGCCCTGAGGGGTTCCCATCCCTGGGAGCAGGGGGCTTGGGGAGGGGTTTTGGGGGTCCCTGTGCCCTGGGGGTTGTGCCCCATCCCTGGGAGCAGGGGGTTTGGGGAGGGGTTTTGGGGGGGGTCTCACCGTAGTCCTTGGGGAGGGCCCTGTGCCCTGGGGGGTTAGGTCCCATCCCCTGGGGACAGGGGGTTTGGGGAGGGTTTTTGGGGGTCCCTGTGCCCTGAGGGGGTGCCCCATCCTCTGGGGGCAGGGGTTTGGGGAGGGGTTTTGGGGGTCTCACCGTAGTCCTTGGGGAGGGGGCGGGGGCCGCGGGTGAACCATCGGCCTCTTCCTGCGCTCCACCAGCGGGCTGGGGGTCGGGGGCGGAGACCCCCTGCTAGGGGTCCCCGCGCTCCTTGGTCATGGTGAGGCCTGGGGGACAGGGGAGGGGAGTTTGGGGGCAGACCCTCCCACGGCAGCAGGGGGCTGGGGGAGAATGGGAGGGAAGGGAGTGGGATGGAAGGGGGGCACTGGGATGTGGAGGGGCACTGGGATGGAATGGGGAGCACTGGGAGGGAAGGGGGCACTGGGATGGGATGGGGGCACTGGGATGGAATGGGGGCACTGGGATGGGAATGGGGGCACTGGGATGGAATGGGGGCACTAGGATGGAATGGGGGCACTGGGATGGAATGGGGGCACTGGGATGGAATGGGGGAACTGGGATGGAAGGGGGAACTGGGATGGGAATGGGGGAACTGGGATGGAAGTGGGGCACTGGGATGGGGAGGGGGCACTGGGATGGGAATGGGGGCACTGGGATGGGAATGGGGCACTGGGTGTGGGGGGGGCACTGGGATGGAATTGGGGGCACTGGGATGGGAATGGGGGCACTGGGATGGAATGGGGGCACTGGGATGGGAGTGGGGCACTGGGATGGGGATTGGGGCACTGGGATGGGAGATGGGGCACTGGGATGGGGATGGGGGCACTGGGATGGGAGTGGGGGCACTGGGATGGGGATGGGGGCACTGGGATGGAATGGGGGCACTGGGATGGAATGGGGGCACTGGGATGGAATGGGGGCACTGGGATGGGATGGGGGCACTGGGATGGGGTTGGGGGCACTGGGATGGAATGGGGCACTGGGATGGAAGGGGGCACTGGGATGGGAGTGGGGCACTGGGATGGGAGAGGGGCACTGGGATGGGGATGGGGGCACTGGGATGGAATGGGGGCACTGGGATGGAATGGGGGCACTGGGATGGGGATGGGGGCACTGGGATGGGAGGGCACTGGATGGAAGGGGGCACTGGGATGGAATGGGGGCACTGGGATGGAATGGGGCACTGGGATGGGTATGGGGCACTGGGATGGAATGGGGAACTGGGATGGAGGGCACTGGGATGGAATGAGGGCACTGGGATGGGAATGGGGCACTGGGATGGGAATGGGGGCACTGGGATGGGGATGGGGGCACTGGGATGGAATGGGGGCACTGGGATGGGAATGGGGCACTGGGATGGGGTTTGGGGGCACTGGGATGGGTTGGGGGCACTGGGATGGGATTTGGGAGCACTGGGATGGGATTGGGGGCACTGGGATGGGATTGGGGGCACTGGGATGGGAATGGGGGCACTGGGATGGAATGGGGGCACTGGGATGGGAATGGGGGCACTGGGATGGGAATGGGGCACTGGGATGGGAGTGGGGCACTGGGATGGAATGGGGGCACTGGGATGGGAATGGGGGCACTGGGATGGAATGGGGAACTGGGATGGAATGGGCACTGGGATGGAATGGGGGCACTGGGATGGGGATGGGGCACTGGGATGGAATGGGGGCACTGGGATGGGGTAGGGGCACTGGGATGGAATGAGGGCACTGGGTGGATGGGGGCACTGGGGAGGTGGGATTGGGATGGAGGGGGCACTGGGATGGGGTTGGGGCACTGGGATGGGATTAGAGAACTGGGATGGAATGGGGGCACTGGGATGGAATGGGGGCACTGGGATGGGGAGGGGGCACTGGGATGGAATGGGGGCACTGGGATGGGAAGGGGGCACTGGGATGGGAAGGGGGCACTGGGATGGGAGTAGGGGGCACTGGGATGGAATGGGGGCACTGGGATGGGAGAGGGGGCACTGGGATGGAATGGGGGAACTGGGATGGAAGGGGGCACTGGGATGGAAGGGGGCACTGGGATGGGGAAGGGGGCACTGGGATGGAATGGGGGCACTGGGATGGGGAGGGGGCACTGGATGGAATAAGGAACTGGGATGGAATGGGGGCACTGGGTGTGAGGGGGCACTGGGATGGAATGGGGGCACTGGGATGGAATGGGGGCACTGGGATGGAAGGGGGCACTGGGAATGGGGTTTAGGGGCACTGGGATGGAAGGGGGGCACTGGGATGGAAGGGGGGGCACTGGGATGGGAGAGGGGGGCACTGGGATGGAATGGGGGCCACTGGGATGGGGGGGGAACTGGGATGGAGGGGATGGGGATAATGAGGATGGGAATGGAATGGGATGAGATGGAATGGGATGGGATGGAATGGGATAGAAAGGGATGGAATGGGATGAGAATGGGATGGGAATGGGAATGGGAATGGGAATGGCAGGGATGGGGATGGGGCTGATGGAGATGGCGAGGATGGGGATGGGAATGGGGATGGGGCCGATGGAGATGATGGGGATAATGGAGATGATGAGAATGGGGATGGGATGGGGCTGTTGCAAATGATGGGGATGGGAATTGGGATGGGGATGGGGATGGGAATGGCAGGGATGGGACCAATTAAAGATGACAGGGATGATGGAGATGATGGGAATAGGGATGGGGATGGGAACGGCAGGGGATGGGGTCGATGGAGATGACAGGGATGGGGATGGGGCTGATGGAGGTGATGGGGACGATGGAGATGATGGCAATGGCAGGGATGGGGATGGGGATGGGGTCGATGGAGATGACGGGGACGATGGAGATGAAGGGGATGATGGAGATGACGGGAATGGGGATAGGAATTGGGATGGGGCCGATGGAGATGATGGGGCCGATGGAGATGATGGGAATGGGGATGGGGATGGGAATTGGGATGGGGCCGATGGAGATGACGGGGACGATGGAGATGATGGGAATGGCAGGGATGGGGATGGGGCCGATGGAGATGATGGGGCCGATGGAGATGATGGGAATGGGGATGGGAATTGGGATGGGGCCGATGGAGATGAAGGGGACGATGGAGATGACAGGGATGGGGATGGGAATGGGGCTGATGGAGGTGATGGGGCCGATGGAGATGATGGGGATGGGAATGGCAGGGGATGGGGCCAATGGAGATGACAGGGATGGGGATGGGGATGGGGCTGATGGAGGTGATGGGGCTGATGGAGATGATGGGGACGATGGAGATGATGGGAATGGGGATAGGAATTGGGATGGACGATGGAGATGATGGGGACGATGGAGATGATGGGAATGGGGATAGGAATTGGGATGGGGCCGATGGAGATGATGGGGACGATGGAGATGATGGGAATGGGGATAGGAATTGGGATGGGGCTGATGGAGATGAAGGGGACGATGGAGATGACAGGGATGGGGATGGGAATTGGGATGGGGCCGATGGAGATGAAGGGGCCGATGGAGATGACAGGGATGGGGATGGGAACTGGGATGGGGCCGATGGAGATGACGGGGACGATGGAGATGGCGAGGCCGGGGCGGGGCCGGCACTGAAGGGCCGGGGGGGGCACCGAGACCGACGACCCCCCCCACATCCCCCCCCGTGACGGTTCCTGGACCGACCCCACCCTCCTGACCCCAAAACCCCTTCCCATCCCCCAAATCCCCGGTACCTGCAGGGCCGCGGCCGTGGGATGGGCCCGGCGCTCTGCGCGTGCGCGCAGGGAGGGCAGGGGAGGGGCCGGGAGGGGAGGGGGAGGGCTGGGGAGGGTATGGGGGCTATGGGGGAGGGGGGAGGGTCTCCACCCTGTATCCTTCCCGCTCCGCCCAACGCATCCAGCCCAGCCCCTGCCCGGGGGCTGTGGGGGAGCTATCAGGGGCTATGGGGGCTATAGGGGACTGGGAGGCTATAGGGGCTATGGGGGCTATAGGGACTATGGGGGCTGTGGGAGTTATAGGGGCTATGGGGGCTATGGGAGCTATAGGGGCTTTGGGGGCTATAGGGGCTATGGGGGGCTATGAGGGGCTATGGGGGCTATAGGGGGACTATGGGGGGCTACAGAGGCTATGGGGCAGCTATGGGGGCTATAGGGGGACTATGAGGGGCTATAGGGGCTATGGGGCGGCTATGGGGGGTTGTGGGAGCTATAGTGTCTATGGGGGCTATGGGGGCGGCTATGGGTGGGCTATGGGGGCTATGGGAGGCTATAGGGGCTATGGGGGCTATGGGAGCTATAGGGACTATGGGAGGGCTATGGGAGCTATAGGGGCTATGGGGGGGTTATAGGGACTGAGGGGACCTATAGGGGCTATGGGAGCTATAGGGGCTATGGGGGCTATGAGGGGTTATGGGGGGCTATGGGAGCTATAGGGGCTGTGGGGGCTATAGGGGCTATAGGGGGCTATGAGGGGTTATGGGGGCTATGGGAGCTATGGGGGCTGTGGGGGGTTATGGGAGGCTATGGGGCTCTACGGGGACTGTGGAGGGCTATGGGCCGACTATGGGAGCTATAGGGGACTGGGGGGCTATGGGAGCTATGGGGGACTATGGGGAGCTATAGGGACTATGAGGGGCTGTGGAGTTATAGGGGCTATGGGGGCTATGGGGGCTATGGGGGCTATAGGGGGCTATGGGGGGCTATGGGAGCTATAGGGGGACTTTAGGGGGCTATAGGGGATGTGGGGGCTATGGGGGTATAGGGGTAGAGAGGCTGTGGGGGGCTGTGGGTGCTATGGGGGGGCTATGGGGGCCTGTGGGGTCTATAGGGATAGAGAGGGTGGGGGCTATGGGTGCTAGAGAGGCTATGGGGGCTGGGGGCGGTATTGGGGGCTATAGGGGCTATGGGGGAGATGTGGGGGGGCTATAGGGGACTGTGGGGGGCTATAGGGGATAGAGAGGAGTAGGAGCCTATGGGGGTATAGGGGATATGGGGGCTATGGGGGGTATAGGAGGTGTGGGATAAAGAGGGTGGGGGCTATGGGGGCTATAGAGGTGTAGGGGCTGGGGGCGGTATGGGGGCTAGGGGGCCGGAGTGGGGGGCTATGGGGGCTATAGGGGCTATGGGGACTATGGGGGGTATGGAAAGTGGAGGGGGCTATGGGGGGCTTTGGACCTTTCCAAAGGGGTTTTGGTTCATCTTAGGGGGTTTGGGGACCCTCCAAGGGGATTTTGGGACCCTCCCAGGGTGGATTTTGGATCTTGCCAAGGGGGTTTTGGGACCCTCCAAGGGGATTTTGGATCCTCCCGAGGGGATTTTGGGACCCTCCAAGGGGATTTTAGATCCTCCCAGGGTGGATTTTGGATCCTCCCGAGGGGATTTTGGGACCCTCCAAGGGGGTTTGGGGACCCTCCAAGGGGGTTTTGGGACCCTCTGAAGGGGTTTTGGGACCCTCCAAGGGGATTTGGGGACCCTCCAAGGGGGTTTGGGGACCCTCCAAGGGAATTTTGGGACCCTCCCAGGGTGGATTTTGGATCTTGCCAAGGGGGTTTTGGGACCCTCCAAGGGGATTTTGGATCCTCCCAGGGTGGATTTTGGATCCTCCCGAGGGGATTTTGGGACCCTCCGAAGGGGTTTTAGGACCCTCCCGAGGGGGTCTCGGACCCTCCGGTCTCTCCCCCCCGGAACGCGCCGACCGGAGTCGCTGAGCCCTCCTATTGGCTGAGGGGCGGGTGCGCACCGCCCTCCTATTGGTTGACGGGCGCTCAGGGGCGGGACCGGCGGTGGCGCTCCGCCTTCCTATTGGCTGAACGACTGCGCTCCGCTTTCCTATTGGCTGAGCGGCGCCGAGGGGCGTTTTTTGGGGATGGGGTTTTTGGGGGTCCCTGGGCTGGGTTTGGGGGTCCCTGGGCTGGTTTTTGGGGGTCCTTGGGGTGGGTTTTTGGGGTCTCTGGGCTGGGTTTTTGGGGGTCTCTGGGCTTCGTTTTTGGGGGTCCCTGAGCTGGGTTTTTGGGGATCCCCGGGGTGGGTTTTTGGGGGTCCCTGGGGTGGCTTTTTGGGGGTCCCTGTGCTGGGTTTGGGGGTCCCTGGGGTGGCTTTTTGGGGGTCCCTGTGCTGGGTTTGGGGTCCCTGGGGTGGGGTTTGAGGGTCCCCAGGGCAGGTTTGGGGCCCCTGGGGGGTATTTTGGGCGTCCCTGTGTTTGAGGGCCCCAGGGTGGGTTTGGGGGTCCCTGGGCTGCGTTTTTGGGGGTCCCTGGGCTGGGTTTGGGGTCTCTGGGGTGAGTTTTTGGGGGAGCCCTGGGTGTGGGGTCCCCAAGGCAGGTTTGGGGATCTCTGGGGTTTGATTTTGGGGGTCCCTGGGGTGGGTTTTGGGGGGGTCCCTGGGCTGGGTTTTTGGGGTCCCTGGGCTGGGTTTGGGGGTCCCTTGGGTGAATTTAGGGGGTCTCTGGGTTTGGGGTCCCCAGGGCAGGTCTGGGGGTCTCTGGGGTTTGATTTTGGGGGTCCTCAGGGCTGTTCCCTCCTCCCCCCCAACAACAACAACAACATCCATCCCCGTCTCCATGGCAACACCCCGCGTGTTTCCACGGCAACCGTCACCATGGCAGCAACCCCTCCTCCCCCCCCCGCGATTGACTTTTAATCCCTCTGAGTTCGACTTTAATTAACTTTATTTAACGTGATTAATTAATTACAGGTGGTAAAATCGCACGGCGCGCGGGGAGAGGGAGAGGAGGAGCGGAGAGGGGAGGGGCGGAACGCCCCCGTCCCTCCCCTTCCCCCTCCCCGTGCACCTATTGCTCGTTTTTGGGGGAAAGGGGTGGGGAGCAGAACCCCTCCCCCACCCCCTCCTCCCAGGACCCCCAAACCCCCAAACCCCCTCCCCCGAGGCTCCTCCCCCAAACTGGGAGCGAACTGGGAAAGGGGATGGGGGAGGGGAGGGCGAGGAGGGGGTCAAAGGGAGGGGAGGGAATAAATACAATCTTCCAATAGATTAAAACCCCTGGAAGTGCAGGGGGCCGGAGGTCACATCATGCCCAGCTGCAGGAGGGTGTTCGCGTACATCATGGGCTTGACGTTGGGGTGAGGCTGGGGGGGCAAAGGGGGGTTAGGGGGTTAGGGGGCGAAAGGGACCCCCGTGCCCCAAAAATACAGCAAGGGGCACCCGGGGGGCTGCGGTGGGGTGAGCACTCCCCACTGAGATACAGCCCCCGGGGACCCCCAATTGGAGTCTGAGCCCTCCCCACACCTGATATCCCCCTGAGACCCCCAAACCTGAGACCCCAGGACCCCCAATAGGAGTCTGAGCCCTCCCCACTGAGATCAGCCCCGGGGACCCCCAATTGGAGTCTGAGCCCCCCAAACCTGAGACCCCCCTGAGACCCCCCAAACCTGAGACCCCCAGGACCCCCAATAGGAGTCTGAGCCCTCCCCACTGAGATACAGCCCCCAGGGACCCCCAATTGGAGTCTGAGCCCCCACACCTGAGACCCCCAAACCTGAGACCCCCTGGGACCCCAATAGAGTCTGAGCCCCCAAACCTGAGACCCCCAAACCTGAGACCCCCAGGACCCCCAATAGAGTCTGAGCCCCCAAACCTGAGACCCCCTGAGACCCCCGTCAGGACCCCAGTAGGAGTCTGAGTCCTCCCCTAAATCTGAGACCCCCGAGATCCCCCAAACCTGAGACCCTCCCTGGGGACCCCCAATAGGACTGTGAGCCCCCCTCAAACCTGAGACCCTCCCCGAGACCCCAAATAGTCCTTCTGACACCCCCTCCCAAAACCTGAGACCCCCTCGGGACCCCCAATAGGAGTCTGAGCCCCTCACCCAAACCTGAGACCCCCCCTGGGACCCCCAATAGGAGTCTGAGCCCCTCACCTAAACCTGAGACCCCCACTGGGACCCCAAATTGGACTCTGCACCGCCCCGAAACCTGAGACACCCCCTGAGACCCCCCCAAACCTAGAGATTCCCCCAGGACCCCCAATAGGAGTCTGAGCCCTCCTAAACCTGAGACCCCCCCCGGGACCCCAAATTGGACTCTGCACCGCCCCAAAACCTGAGACACGCCCCCCCCGGGACCCCCAGTGTATTTTTGGGGTACCAGGGACAATTTTGGGGGTGCCAGGGTGAGTTTTTCGGGGGTTCCAAGGTCAGTTTTGGGGTCCCAGGGTGGGATTTTTGGGGTCCCAGGGGTGTATTTTGGGGTCCCAGGGTGGGTTTGGGGGTCCCAGGGGTGTATTTGGGGTCCCAGGGTGAGTTTTGGGGTCCCAGGGTCAGTTTGGGGGTCCCAGGGGGGTGTATTTGGGGGTCCCAGGGGGTCCCTGCTCACCACTGCAGTGAACTGGTGGAAGTCGGGGCACAGGGTCAGTTTTTGGGGTCCCAGGGTCAGTTTTAGGGTCCCAGGGTGGGTTTTTTAGGGTCCCAGGGGGGTGTATTTGGGGTCCCAGGGTGTATTTGGGGTCCCAAGGTCAGTTTGGGGGTCCCTGCTCACCACTGCAGTGAACTGGTGGAAGTCGGGGCGCAGGGTCAGTTTGGGGTCCCAGGGTCAGTTTGGGGTCCCAGGGTCAGTTTGGGGGTCCCAGGGTGGGTTTTTTGGGGTCTCAGGGTCAGTTTGGGGGTCCCAGGGTGGGTTTTTTGGGGTCTCAGGGGTATGTTTTGGGGTCCCAAGGTCAGTTTTGGGGTCCCTGCTCACCACTGCAGTGAACTGGTGGAAGTCGGGGCGCAGGGTCAGTTTGGGGTCCCAGGGTCAGTTTGGGGTCCCAGGGTCAGTTTGGGGGTCCCAGGGGGGTGTATTTGGGGGTCCCAGGGGGTGTATTTGGGGTCCCTGCTCACCACTGCAGTGAACTGGTGGAAGTCGGGGCGCAGGGTCAGTTTGGGGTCCCAGGGTCAGTTTGGGGTCCCAGGGTCAGTTTGGGGTCTCAGGGGTATGTTTTGGGGTCCCAAGGTCAGTTTGGGGTCCCTGCTCACCACTGCAGTGAACTGGTGGAAGTCGGGGCGCAGGTCGCTGCCGCGCAGGTGGATGTACGAGCCCTTGTTGCCCATCTGGTCACTGCGGGGACAAGGGGACACTTGGGGACACCTGGGGACACTTGGGGGACACTGAGAGGTGGCACAAGGACACTGAGCCTTGGGGACACTTGGGGGATACCTGGAGGACACTGAGAGGTGGCACAGGGACAGAGCCTTGGGGACACCTGGGGCCACTTGGGGACACTGAGATGACACCAGGGGGACACCAGGGGACACCAGACCAAGGGGACACTGTGGCTCAGGTGTCACCAGACCCAGAGCACCCCGTGGCTCAGGGGACAGCAGGTGACACCAGACCAAGGGGACACCAGGTGACACCAGACCCAGGGGACACTGTGACTCAGGGGACACCAGACCCAGAGCACCCCCTGGCTCAGGGGACACCAGACCAAGGGGACACCAGGTGACACCAGACCCAGAGCACCCCGTGGCTTAGGGGACACCAGGTGACACCAGACCAAGGGGACACCAGGTGTCACCAGACCCAGAGCATCCTGTGGCTCAGGGGACAGCAGGTGACACCAGACCAAGGGGACACCGTGGCTCAGGTGACACCAGACCCAGAGGACTCCATGGCTCAGAGGACAGACACTGTGGCTCAGGGGACACTATGGCTCAGGTGTCACCAGACCCAGAGCACCCCATGGCTTGGGGGACACCAGGTGACACCAGACCAAGGGGACACCAGGTGACACCAGACCCAGAGCACCCCGTGGCTCCGCAGCCGCTGCGCCGTCCCCATGTCCCCCCCATCCCCACTGTCCCCATGTCTCCCCCATCCCCACTGTCCCCATGTCCCCCCCATCCCCACTGTCCCCATGTCTCCCCCATCCCCACTGTCCCCATGTCTCCCCCATCCCCACTGTCCCCGTGTCCCCCAATCCCCACTGTCCCCATGTCTCCCCCATCCCCACTGTCCCCGTGTCCCCCCATCCCCACTGTCCCCATGTCCCCCCCATCCCCCCTGTCCCTCACCAGTAGTTGGGGGCGGAGAAGACGGTGACACAGCGGCCATCGTGGGCCACCTCGTAGCCCTCGGCCTTGACCTCGTGGCTGCGGATGATGAGCTCGAGCTGGTTCCGCTCCAGGAAGCGCTTGGTGACGTCGGGCCCGAACTGGCAGCTCACGCCACGCTTGCTCACTGAGCGCCCGTTCTGGGGACAGGGGGGGACACCAGGGACATGGGGGACAGACACGGTCACCAGGGGATGGACACTGTCACCAGGGCATGGACAGTGTCACCAGGAACCCAGAGACACCAGGGGATGGACACTGTCACTGAGTGCCTGTTCTGGGGACAGGGGGGGGACACCAGGGACATGGGGGACAGACACGGTCACCAGGGGATGGACACTGTCATCAGGAACCCAGAGACACCAGGGGATGGACACTGTCACCAGGGGATGGACACTGTCACCAGGAACCCAGAGACACCAGGGGATGGACACTGTCACCGAGTGCCCGTTCTGGGGACACCGGGGGGACAGGGGGACATGGGGGACACACGGGGGACACACGTGGTCAGCAGGGGATGGACAGTGTCACCGAGCGCCCGTTCTGGGGACATGGGAGGACAGGGGGACATGGGGGGGACATGGGGGACACACGTGGTCAGCAGGGGATGGACACTGTCACCAAGTGCCTGTTCTGGGGACATGGGAGGACAGGGGGGACACAGGGGGACACGGGGGACAGGCATGGTCAGCAGGAACCCAGAGACACCAGGGGATGGACACTGTCACTGAGCACCCGTTCTGGGGACAGGGGGGGACATGGGGGACAGACACGGTCACCAGGGGATGGACACTGTCACCAGGGGATGGACACTGTCACCAGGGGATGGACAGTGTCACCAGGAACCCAGAGACACCAGGGGATGGACGGTGTCACCAGGAACCCAGAGACACCAGGGGATGGACACTGTCACCAAGTAGCCATTCTGGGGACACCGGGGGGACAGGGGGGACAGACATGGTCACCAGGGGATGGACAGTGTCACCAGGGGATGGACAGTGTCACCAGGAACCCAGAGACACCAGGGGATGGACACTGTCACCAAGTGCCCGTTCTGGGGACAGGGGGGGACACCAGGGGGGACAGACATGGTCACCAGGGGATGGACAGTGCCACCAGGAACCCAGTGACACGGACAGTGTCACCAAGTAGTCCGTTCTGGGGACGGGGGGGACACCAGGGGGACAGACACGGTCAGCAGGGGATGGACACTGTCACCAAGTGCCCGTTCTGGGGACGGGGGGACACCAGGGGGGACATGGGGGACAGACACGGTCACCAGGGGATGGACAGTGTCACCAAGCACCCATTCTGGGGACACCGGGGGGACAGGGGGGACACCAGGGGGACAGGGGGGCAGACACGGTCAGCAGGGCACAGTGTCACCAGGGGATGGACACTGTCACTGAGTGCCTGTTCTGGGGACATGGGGACACAGGGAACATGGGGGACACACATGGTCAGCAGGGCACAGACAGTGTCACTGGGATGCCAGGAACACCGGGGACAGGAGGGACACAGGGGACATGGGGGGACACACACGGTCAGCAGGGCATGGACAGTGTCACCGAGCGCCCGTTCTGGGGACACCGGGGGGACAGGGGGGACACAGGGGGGACACACACGGTCAGCAGGGCACAGACAGTGTCACTGGGATGCCAGGAACACCGGGGACACAGGGGACATGGGGGGACACACACGGTCAGCAGGGCACGGACAGTGTCACTGGGATGCCAGGGACACCGGGGGACAGACACTGTCAGTGGGACACCAGGGACACCTGGACACAGGGAGTGTCCCCAAGACCCCAGGACACAGAGGGGTGTCCCCAGGACACAGAGGGTATCCCCAGGACACTGAGGGGTGTCCCCAAGACACAGGGGGTGTCCCCAGGGACACAGAGGGGTGTCCCAGGGACACAGAGGGGTGTCCCAAGGACACAGAGGGGTGTCCCCAGGACCCTGAGGGGTGTCCCCAGGACACAGGGGGTGTCCCCAAGACACAGAGGGGTGCCACAGGGACACAGAGGGTGTCCCCAGGACACAGAGGGGTGGCACAAGGACACAGAGGGGTGTCCCAAGGACACAGAGGGGTGTCCCCAGGACACAGGGGGTGTCCCCAGGACACAGAGGGGTGTCCCCAAGACACAGAGGGGTGCCACAGGGACACAGAGGGTGTCCCCAGGACACAGAGGGGTGGCACAAGGACACAGAGGGGTGCCACAGGGACACAGAGGGTGTCCCCAGAACACAGAGAGGTGGCACAAGGACACAGAGGGGTGTCCCCAGGACCCCAGGACACAGAGGGTATTCCCAGGACCCTGAGGGGTGTCCCCAGGACCCCGAGGGGTGTCCCCAAGACACAGAGAGGTGGCACAAGGACACAGAGGGTGTCCCCAGGACTCTGAGGGATGTCCCCAGGACACAGAGGGGTGTCCCCAGAACACAGAGGGGTGTCCCCAGGACCCCAGGGGGTGTCCCCAGGACCAGGAGGGGTGTCCCAGGGACACAGAGGGGTGGCACAAGGACACAGAGGGTATCCCCAGGACCCCAAGGGGTGTCCCCAGAACACAGAGGGTATCCCCAGGACCCTGAGGGATGTCCCCAGGACCAGGAGGGATGTCCCAGGGACACAGAGGGTGTCCCCAGGACCCTGAGGGGTGTCCCCAAGACACAGAGAGGTGGCACAAGGACACAGAGGGTGTCCCCAGGACCCCGAGGGGTGTCCCCAGAACACAGAGGGTATCCCCAGGACCCCGAGGGGTGTCCCAGGGACACAGAGGGGTGGCACAAGGACACAGAGGGATGTCCCCAGGACCCTGAGGGATGTCCCCAGGACCCTGAGGGGTGTCCCAGGGACACAGAGGGGTGGCACAAGGACACAGAGGGTGTCCCCAGGACCAGGACGGGTGTCCCCAGAACACAGAGGGTGTCCCCAGAACCCCGAGGGGTGTCCCCAGGACCCCGAGGGGTGTCCCCAGGACCCCGAGGGGTGTCCCCAAGACACAGGGGGTGTCCCCAGGACCCCGAGGGGTGTCCCCAGGACCCCGAGGGTGTCCCAGGACACAGAGGGTGTCCCCAGACACAGAGGTGTCCCCAGGACCCCGAGGGGTGTCCCAGGGACACAGAGAGGTGGCACAAGGACACAGAGGGTGTCCCCAGGACACAGAGGGTATCCCCAGGACCCCGAGGGGTGTCCCCAGGACCCCGAGGGGTGTCCCCAGGACCAGGAGGGATGTCCCCAAGACACAGAGGGTGTCCCCAAGACCCCGAGGGGTGTCCCCAGCGCGGGGGTGCAGCTCACCTGGGGCTGGGGGTCCGACCAGAGCAGGTCACACATGGGACCTGTGGGAGGAGATGTCACAGCTGGGCCCCTCGGGGTGGGGACACGCAGGGGACACCCCCGGGGGGGGTCCCTGTCCCACCTGAGTCCGGGGGCTGCCGGTTCCGCTCGATCTTGCGGATGTCGTCGAGGGTGACGCCGTCCTCGCTGAAGAGCCCCCGTGCATGATCTGGGGACAGGGGGGGACAGGGGGGAACAGGAGGGACAGGGGGACATGGGGGGACAGGAGGGACAGGGGGGACATGGGGGGACATGCAGGGGGACAGGAGGACATGGGGAGATGAGGGGACAGGGGGACATGGTAGGGACATGGAGGGATGGTGGGGACAGGGGGGACATGGGGGATGGAGGAGGGACAGGAGGGACATGGGGACATGGGGGACAGGGAGGGACAGGGGAACAGGGGGACATGGGGGGACAGGAGGACATGGGGAGATGAGGGGACAGGGGACGTGGTGGGGACATGGAGGGATGGTGGGGACGGGGGGGACATGGGGAGATAGAGGAGGGACAGGGGGGCACAGGGGGGACAGGGGCACATTGGGGAATGGGGAGGACACAGGGGGACAGTGAGGATGGGAGGGACAACCCCCCCAATCCTAATGCTGGGGGTGGGGGGGTGAGGAGGGACCCCCTGAGCCCTGGGGGAGGGCAGGGACACTTCCTCCCCAAAACTGTGACAGGGAGCACCCCAAATCCCCCCCAGGGACAGTGGGGACAGACCCTGAGTGGCACTGCCAGATAGAGAGCTATGAGGATCAATGGGCATTGCCAGATATGGAGCCACAGGGATCAATGGGCATTGCCAGATATGGAGCCACGAGGATTGATGGGCACTGCCAGATAGGGAGCCACGAGGATTGATGGGCACTGCCAGATAGGGAGCCAGGAGGATCAATGGGCACTGCCAGATAATGAGCCATAAGGAGCAATAAGCACTGCCAGATAACGAGCCATAGGGTCCCCGTGGGCACTGCCACCCTGGAGCTGTGGGGTCCTGTGGGAGCACTGCCAGGCCCAGAGCTGTGGGGTCCCGTGGGGGCACTGCCAGCCCCGGAGCCGTGGGGTCCCTTAGGCACTGCAGATAATGAGCTGTGGGGTCCCATGGGCTCTGCCAGGCCCAGAGCTGTGGGGTCCCGTGGGGGCACTGCCAGCCCCAGAGTCATGGGATCCCTTAGGCACTGCAGATAATGAGCTGTGGGGTTCCGTGGGCTCTGCCATCCCCATGGCCGTGGTGTTGTGGGCTCTGCCATCCCCATGGCCGTGGTGCTGTGGGCTCTGCCATCCCCAGGGCCATGGTGCTGTGGGCTCTGCCATCCCCATGGCCGTGGTGTTGTGGGCTCTGCCATCCCCATGGCCGTGGTGTTGTGGGGGCTCTGCCATCCCCAGGGCCATGGTGTTGTGTGGGCTCTGCCATCCCCATGGCCATGGTGCTGTGGGCTCTGCCATCCCCATGGCCATGGTGTTGTGGGCTCTGCCATCCCCATGGCCATGGTGCTGTGGGCTCTGCCATCCCCATGGCCATGGTGCTGTGGGCTCTGCCATCCCCATGGCCATGGTGTTGTGTGGGCTCTGCCATCCCCGTGCCCGTGGTCCTGTGGGGGCTCTGCCATCCCCAGGGCCATGGTGTTGTGGGCTCTGCCATCCCCATGGCTGTGGTGTTGTGGGGCTCTGCCATCCCCATGGCCATGGTGCTGTGGGGGCTCTGCCATCCCCATGGCCATGGTGCTGTGGGAGCTCTGCCATCCCCATGGCCATGGTGCTGTGGGCTCTGCCATCCCCATGGCCATGGTGTTGTGTGGGCTCTGCCATCCCCGTGCCCGTGGTCCTGTGGGGGCTCTGCCATCCCCAGGGCCATGGTGTTGTGGGCTCTGCCATCCCCATGGCCGTGGTGTTGTGGGCTCTGCCATCCCCAGGGCCATGGTGTTGTGGGGGCTCTGCCATCCCCAGGGCCATGGTGTTGTGGGCTCTGCCATCCCCATGGCCATGGTGCTGTGGGGGCTCTGCCATCCCCATGGCCATGGTATTGTGGGCTCTGCCATCCCCAGGGCCGTGGTGTTGTGGGCTCTGCCATCCCCATGGCCGTGGTGCTGTGGGGGCTCTGCCATCCCCATGGCCATGGTGCTGTGGTGGCTCTGCCATCCCCATGGCCATGGTGCTGTGGGCACTGCTATCCCCATGGCCGTGGTGTTGTGGGGGCTCTGCCATCCCCATGGCCGTGGTGCTGTGGGCTCTGCCATCCCCATGGCCATGGTGTTGTGGGCTCTGCCATCCCCATGGCCATGGTGCTGTGGGCTCTGCCATCCCCGTGGCCATGGTACCATGGGGGCTCTGCCATCCCCATGGCCGTGGTGCTGTGGGCTCTGCCATCCCCATGGCCGTGGTGCTGTGGGGGCTCTGCCATCCCCGTGCCCGTGGTGCTGTGGGCTCTGCCATCCCCATGGCCATGGTGTTGTGGGCTCTGCCATCCCCATGGCCATGGTGCTGTGGGAGCTCTGCCATCCCCATGGCCATGGTGCTGTGGGCTCTGCCATCCCCATGGCCATGGTGTTGTGGGGGCTCTGCCATCCCCATGGCCATGGTGTTGTGTGGGCACTGCTATCCCCATGGCCATGGTGCTGTGGGAGCTCTGCCATCCCCATGGCCGTGGTGCTGTGGGGGCACTGCCATCCCCATGGCCATGTTGCTGTGGGCTCTGCCATCCCCATGGCCATGGTGCTGTGGGCTCTGCCATCCCCAGGGCCATGGTGTTGTGGGCTCTGCCATCCCCATGGCCATGGTGCTGTGGGCTCTGCCATCCCCATGGCCATGGTGCTGTGGGAGCTCTGCCATCCCCATGGCCATGGTGCTGTGGGCTCTGCCATCCCCATGGCCATGGTGTTGTGGGGGCTCTGCCATCCCCATGGCCATGGTGTTGTGGGCTCTGCCATCACCATGGCCGTGGTGCTGTGGGCTCTGCCATCCCCATGGCCATGGTGCCGTGGGGGCTCTGCCATCCCCATGGCCATGGTGCTGTGGGCTCTGCCATCCCCATGGCCGTGGTGCTGTGGGCTCTGCCATCCCCATGGCCATGGTGCTGTGGGAGCTCTGCCATCCCCATGGCCATGGTGCTGTGGGCTCTGCCATCCCCATGGCCATGGTGTTGTGGGAGCTCTGCCATCCCCAGGGCCATGGTGCCGTGGGAGCTCTGCCATCCCCGTGGTGTTGTGGGCTCTGCCATCCCCATGGCCATGGTGTTGTGGGCTCTGCCATCCCCATGGCCATGGTGTTGTGGGCTCTGCCATCCCCAGGGCCATGGTACCATGGGGGCACTACCATCCCCATGGCCATGGTGCTGTGGGCTCTGCCATCCCCATGGCCGTGGTGCTGTGGGCTCTGCCATCCCCATGGCCGTGGTGCTGTGGGAGCTCTGCCATCCCCGTGGCCATGGTGTTGTGTGGGCTCTGCCATCCCCGTGCCCGTGGCCCCCCCGTGGTGCCCTCACCAGCACTTTGCCGTTGATGCACTGGGCCAGGGGCAGCCACTCGAAGACCTCGCTGAACAGGGCGAACATCTGCGCCGTGTACTTGGCCTTCACCTCCCCCTCGAAGCCGTAGATCTGGTTCATGTTGTCCGTCTCGTGGTTCCCTGCGGGCACACGGGGACACTGCCAGGGTGTGGGGAGACTGCCAGGGTGTGGGGACACTGTCAGGGCATGGGGAGACTGTCAGGGTGTGGGGACACTGTCAGGGTGTGGGGACACTGACAGGGTGTGGGGACACTGCCAGGGTGTGGGGACACTGCCAGGGCACGGGGACACTGCCAGGGTGTGGGGACACTGTCAGGGTGTGGGGAGACTGTCAGGGTGTGGGGACACTGTCAGGGTGTGGGGACACTGCCAGGGTGTGGGGACACTGTCAGGGTATGGGGACACTGTCAGGGTGTGGGGAGACTGCCAGGGCCTGGGGACACTGCCAGGACATGGGGTCACGGCCCCCAGAGTGTCCCCATCAGGAGACTCCCGAGGGGTCAAGGGACAGAGAAGGAGACCCAGGGTGGAGGACAAGGGACAGGGCAGGTGGCACTGCCACCAGGGAGTGTGGCACTGTGAGCAGGACAGGGGACACAGGGGTGTGACAAGACCCCCCCAGTTGGGGACAGGGGACTCAGGGGTGTGACAAGACCCCCCAACTGGGGACAGGGGACACAGGGATGTGACAAGACCCCCAAATGAGTACAGGGGACCCAGGGGTGGGATGTGACCCCCTAGTTCAGGACAGGGGACCCAGGGATGGAATGTGACCCCCCAAATGAGGACAGGGGACCCAGGGGTGTGATGTGACCCCCCAGCTGGGGACAGGGGATCCAGGGGTGGGATGTGACCCCCCAAATCAGGACAGGGGATTCAGGGGTGTGATGTGACCCCCTAGTTGGGGACAGGGGACCCAGGGGTGGGATGTGACCCCCCAAATGAGTACAGGGGACCCAGGGGTGTGATGTGACCCCCCACTTGGGGACAGGGGACACGGGGATGGAATGTGACCCCCCAGTTCAGGACAGGGGACACGGGGATGGAATGTGACCCCCAAATGAGTACAGGGGACCCAGGGGTGTGATGTGACCCCCTAGTTCAGGACAGGGGACCCAGGGGTGTGATGTGACCCCCCAACTGGGGACAGGGGACCCAGGGGTGGGATGTGACCCCCCAAACGAGTACAGGGGACACAGGGGTGGGATGTGACCCCCCACTTGGGGACAGGGGACACGGGGATGGAATGTGACCCCCCAAATGAGTACAGGGGACCCAGGGGTGGGATGTGACCCCCCAAATGAGTACAGGGGACTCAGGGGTGTGATGTGACCCCCTAGTTCAGGACAGGGGACCCAGGAGTGTGACGTGACCCCCCAAACGAGTACAGGGGACCCAGGGGTGTGATGTGACCCCCATCTGGGCCAGGGCCCTTGTCCCCCGTGCCCCCAGTTACCCCGGAGCAGGTGGAAGTGGTCGGGGTAGAGCAGCTTGAAGCCGAAGAGCGTCAGGATGACCTCGACCGAGAAGGAGCCGCGGTCCACGAAGTCCCCGTTGAAAATCTGGCGGCAGCTCAGGAAAAGCGGCTCCCCCCGGGGTGTCCCTCCCCCCTGTGCCCCTCCCCTGCCCCGGGGACACCCCCCTGGCCCCCGTGGATACGTAAGGGTTGGTCTCGGAGGGCAGCCCGTTGAGCTCGAAGATGTTGAGCAGGTCGTAGAACTGCCCGTGGGTGTCACCGCACACCGTCACCTTCTCCGTCTGCCAGGGGACAAACCGGGGGGGGAGAGTGGCACCAGAGTGGGGGGGGACACGGGTGACACCCCCCCAAAACCCCCTGCAAGAGAGAGAGAGGGGAACCCACCTCCTTCAACGTTGTCTCCACCAAGGTGGGGAGCTTGGCCAGCACCTCCTTCACCTGCACCAGGATCTGTGGGGCGGGGACACTTGGGGACACTTGGGGACGGGGTGGGGGCGGTGGGAGGGGCTCGGGGGGGCGGGGGAGAGAGTTGGGGGTACCTGGTAGGCACATTTCCTGTGGAGTTTCTTCTGGTCCTTGTACCACTGCATGAGCTCCTTCATGAAGGCCAAGGTGACCTTCCCGTCCTCCAGCTTGGGGCCACTGTACTCGTCCTCGATGGCTGCGGGCACAGCGGGGACGGTGGCACGGGGGGACAGCGGGGACCTGGCCCCCCAGGGCTGTCATAACCCCCCCAGGGCTGTCACAGCCCCCCAGGGCTGTCACAGCCATCCCAGAGCCACACAGCACCCCCAGGGCTGTCATAACCCCCCCACAGCCACACAGCACCCCCAGGGCCACCACAGCACCCCCAGAGCCACCACAGCACCCCCAGGGCCCCCCACAGCTCCCCCAGGGCTGTCATAACCCCCCCACAGCCACCACAGCACCCCAGGACCACCACAGCCACCACCAGGGCTGTCATAAGCCCCACAGCCACCACAGCACCCCAGGGCCACCATGGCCCCCTAGGGCTGTCATAAGCCCCACAGCCACAGCACCCCAGAGCTGTCATAACCCACCCCACAGCCACCACAGCACCCCAGGACCACCACAGCACCCCCAAGGGCTGTCATAACCCACCCCACAGCCACCACAGCACCCCCAGGACCACCACAGCCACCCCAGGGCTGTCATGATCCCCCCACAGCCACCACAGCACCCCAGGACCACCACAGCACCCCCAGGGCTGTCATAACCCCCCCCACAGCCACCACAGCACCCCCAGGACCACCACAGCACCCCAGGGGCTGTCATAAGTCCCCACAGCCACCTAGCACCCCCAGGACCACCACAGCACCCCAGGGCTGTCATGATCCCCCCACAGCCACCACAGCACCCCCAGGACCACCACAGCACCCCCAGGGCTGTCATGATCCCCCCACAGCCACCACAGCACCCCCAGGACCACCACAGCACCCCCAGGGGTGTCATAAACCCCCCACAGCCACCACAGCACCCCAGGACCACCACAGCCACCCCAGGGCTGCCATGATCCCCCCAGAGCCACCACAGCCCCCCAGGGCCACCACAGCACCCCCAGGGCTGTCGCACCCCACAGCCACCACAGCCCCCCAGGACCACCACAGCCACCCCAGGGCTGTCATGATCCCAGAGCCACCAAGCCCCCAGGGCTGCCATAGCCCCCCAGGGCTGTCACAGCCCCAGGGCTGCCATAACCCCCCCACAGCCACCACAGCACCCCAGGACCACCACAGCACCCCCAAGGGCTGTCATAACCCCCCCACAGCCACCACAGCCACCCCCAGGACCACCACAGCCACCCCAGGGCTGTCATAACCCCCCCACAGCCACCACAGCACCCACAGGACCCCCACAGCCACCCCAGGGCTGTCACAGCCACCCACAGCCACCACAGCACCCCCAGGACCACCACAGCACCCCCAGGGCTGTCATAGCCACCCACAGCCACACAGCACCCCCAGGACCACCAGCACCCCAGGGCTGTCAGTGATCCCCACAGCCACCACGGCACCCCCAGGCCACCCCAGCACCTCCCAGGGCTGTCAGACCCACCACAGCCACCAGCACCCCAGGCCACCACAGCACCCCAGGCCACCAACCACAGCCACCACCCCAGGGCTGTCATAGACCCCCAGGCCACCACAGCACCCCAGGGCCACCACAGCACCCCAGGGCTGTCACCAAACCCCCCACAGCCACACAGCACCCCAGGGCCGCCAGCACCCCCAGGGCCACACAGCCACCCCAGGGCTGTCACAGCCACCCCAGAGCCACCTGGCACCCAGGGCCACCACAGCCACCCCAGGGCCTGGCTGTCATAACCCCCACAGCCACCACACCCTAGGACCACCACAGCACCCCAGGGCTGTCATGATCCCCCACAGCCACCACAGCACCCCCAGGACCACCACAGCACCCCCAGGACCACCACAGCCACCCCAGGGCTGTCATAAACCCCCCACAGCCACCACAGCACCCCAGGACCACCACAGCCACCCCAGGGCTGTCTGAACCCCACAGCCACCACAGCACCCCCAGGACCACCACAGTACCCCCAGGGCTGTCACAACCACCCCAGAGCCACCACAGCACCCCCAGGACCCCCACAGCCACCCCAGGGCTGTCATGATCCCCCCAGAGCCACCACAGCACCCCCAGGACCACCACAGCCACCCCAGGGCTGTCATAAACCCCCCACAGCCACCACAGCCCCCCAGGGCTTACAGCCACACAGCACCCCAGGGCCACCACAGCCACCCCAGGGCTGTCACATCCCCCACAGCCACCACAGCACCCCCAGGGCTGTCACAGCCACCCACAGCCACACAGCACCCCCAGGACCACCACAGCACCCCCAGGGCTGTCATAACCACCCACAGCCACCACAGCACCCCCAGGACCACCACAGCCACCCCAGGGCTGTCATAAACCCCACAGCCACCCAGCCCCCAGGACCACCCAGCACCCCAGGGCTGTCGCAAACCCCACAGCCACCAGCACCCCAGCACCACCCCAGGGCTGTCATGATCCCCACAGCCACCACAGCACCCCAGGACCACCACAGCCACCCCCAGGGCCACCAGCCCCCAGCCACCACAGCCCCCAGGGCTGTCACAACCACCCCAGAGCCACACAGCACCCCCAGGACCACCACAGCCACCCCAGGGCTGTCATGATCCCCACAGCACCACAGCACCCCCAGGACCACCACAGCACCCCAGGGCTGTCATGATCCCCACAGCCACCACAGCACCCCAGAGCCACCACAGCACCCACAGAGCCACCACAGCACCCCAGGACCACCACAGCCACCCCAGGGCTGTCATGATCCCCAGAGCCACCACAGCACCCCCAGGACCACCACAGCACCCCAGGGCTGTCACAACCCCCACAGCCACCACAGCACCCCCAGAGCCACCACAGCACCCCCAGGGCTGTCACAGCCACCCCAGAGCCACCACAGCCCCCCAGGGCCACCACAGCCACCCCAGGGCTGTCATGATCCACCCAGAGCCACCCACAGCACCCCCAGGACCACCAGGGCCCCCCCGGACACCCACAGCTCCCCAAGGCTACTGAGACCCTCCCAGACCCCCAAGACCCCAAGGAAAACCCTCCTAGACCCCCAGAACACCCAGGACGACCCTCCTGAGCCCCCTCAAGGGTCTCACAGCCCTCAACCCCCTCCCCAAGGGGACCCTCCCAGACCCCAAGACCCCCAGGAGGACCCTCCCAAACCCCTAAGACCCCCAGGAGGCCTCTCCCAGACCCCCAAGACCCCCAGGAAGATCCTCCCAGATCCCCAAGATGTCCCTTCAGGCTCTCACAGCCCTCACCCCCTCCCCAAGAGGACCCTCCCAAACCCCCAAGACCCCCAGGAAGATCCTCCTGGACCCCCAAAACACCCATGAGGACCCTCCCAGTTCCCTGAAGGCTCTCACAACCCTCACCCCCTTCCCCAAGGGGACCCTCCCAGACCCCCAAGACCCCCAGGAGGACCCTCCCAAACCCCTAAGACCCCCAGGAGGCCTCTCCCAGACCCCCAAGACCCCCAGGAAGATCCTCCTGGACCCCCAAAACACCCATGAGGACCCTCCCAGTCCCCTGAAGGCTCTCACAACCCTCACCCCCTTCCCCAAGGGGACCCTCCCAGACCCCCAAGACCCCCAGGAGGACCCTTCAGGCTCTCACAACCCTCACACCCTTCCCCAAGGGGACTCTCCCAGAGCCCCGAGACCCCCAGAACGACCCCCCAAGACCTCCAAGAGGACCCTCAAGTCTCTCCCAGCCCTCACCCCCCTCCCCAGAGGGACCCTCCCAGCCCCCTCAAGGCTCTCCCAGCCCTCACCCCCCTCCCCAGGGGGATCCTCTCAGACCCCCAAGACACCCCCCAAACCCCAACCCCCGTGCCCAGGAGCCCCCCCAGCCCCCCCAGGCCAGCGGGTGGGTGTGGGGAGGGGTCTCAACTCATGCTCTCGATGTCCAGGGAGTCGACCACGGAGCGCTTGGTCTCGTCGCTGGCGATGGCCCTCTCGAAGGCCTTCTGCTTGACGATGCGGTGGCACTCCTGGTACTTGAGCTTGGCGTCCTTGTCGTTGGGCCTCACCTTCACCACCTGTGGGGGGACAGCCCTCAGGGGTGGGGACAGCACTCAGGGGGCAGGGGACACACCCATGGTGCATGGGGACAGCACTCAGGGGATGGGGACACACCCAGGGGTCATGGGGACACACCCAGGGGTCATGGGGACAGCACTCAGGGGTCATGGGGACAGCTCTCAGGGGGCAGGGGACACACCCAGGGGTCATGGGGACAGCACTCAGGGGACAGGGGACAGCACTCAGGGGATGGGGACACACCCAGAGGTCATGGGGACAGCCCTCGGGGGATGGGGACAGCACTCAGGGGATGGGGACACACCCAGGGGTCATGGGGACACCCCTCGGGGGTGGGGACAGCTCTCAGGGGATGGGGACACACCCAGGGGTCATGGGGACAGCACTCAGGGGGTGGGGGACACACCCAGGGGTCATGGGGACACACCCAGGGGTCATGGGGACAGCACTCAGGGGGTGGGGGACAGCACTCAGGGGATGGGGACAGCACTCAGGGGACAGGGGACACACCCAGGGGTGATGGGGACACTGGAGGACACCCCACCGGGGGTGATGGGGACACCCAGACACACACTCAGGGGATGGGGACACCCCTCAGGAGATGAGGACACCCCTCAGGGCACAGTCACACCCCTCAGGGCACGGTCACACCCCTCAGGGAACTGTCACATCCCTCAGGAGACAGACACACCCTCAGGGCACAGTCATACCCCTCATGAGACAGTCACACCCTCAGGGCACAGTCACACCCCTCAGGGAAATGTCACACCCCTCAGGGAACTGTCACACCCCTCAGGGCACTGACACACCCCTCAGGGCACTGTCACATCCCTCAGGAGACAGTCACACCCTCAGGGCATTGTCACATCACTCAGAGCACAGTCACACCCCTCAGGAGACAGACACACCCTCAGGGCACAGTCACACTCCTCAGGGGATGAGGACACCCCTCAGGGCACTGTCACACCCCCCAGGGCACAGTCACACCCCTCAGGGCTCATAAGGACACCCCTCAGGAGATGGGGACACCCTCAGGGGATGACGACACCCCTCAGGTGACAGGGACACCCTCAGGAGGTGAGGACACCCCTCATGACTCAGACACATCCTCAGGGCACAGTCACACCCCTCATGAGACAGTCACACCCCTCAGGGCACAGTCACACCCCTCAGGGCACAATCACAGCCCTCAGGGAAATGTCACACCTCTCAGGGCACATGTCACACCCCTCAGGGCACAGTCACACCCCTCAGGGGATGACAACACCCCTCAGGGCACAGTCACACCCCTCAGGGGATGACAACACCCCTCAGGTGACAGGTACACCCTCAGGGGTCACAAGGACACCCCCAGGTGCTGCCAGGACACCCCTCAGGAGATGGGGACACCCCTCAGGTGACAGGGACACCCTCAGGAGATGAAGACACCCCTCAGGAGATGGGGACAACCCTCAGGTGACAGGTACATCCTCCGGGGTCACCAGGACACCCCCAGGCGCCGCCAGGACACCCCTCAGGAGATGGGGACACCCCTCAGGTGACAGGGACACCCTCAGGAGATGAAGACACCCCTCAGGAGATGGGGACACCCCTCAGGTGACAGGTACATCCTCCGGGGTCACCAGGACACCCCCAGGCGCCACCAGGACACCCCTCAGGAGATGGGGACACCCCTCAGGAGATGGGGACACCCCTCAGGAGATGGGGACACCCCTCAGGTGACAGGTACACCCTCAGGGGTCACAAGGACACCCCCAGGCGCCGCCAGGACGCCCCTCACAACCCCCCCGCGCCTCTCTCACCGTCTCGTAGTCGCGCAGGGCGGCCTTGAACTTGCCCAGGGCCATGTTGCTGGCGGCGCGCCGGTAGTAGCCCTTGACGTACTTGGCGTCGAGCTGCACGGCGCGCGTGGCGTCGGCCAGGGCGTAGCCGTAGCACTCGGTGCGCAGGTAGGCCAGGCTGCGGTTGCCGTAGTAGATGGCGTTGCCGGGGTTCAGCTCGATGGCGCTGCTGTAGAACTTCACCGCGTTCTCGTAGTCCTTCCCTGGGGGGAGCCCCGGGGGGAAGGGGGGGCAGGAGAGATGGTTGGGGGAGGCGTTTTGGGGGGGGGGTTTCCTCATAGGTTTTCTCTGGGGACACCATGGGGTGTAGGACCCCAAGTTAGGTGGGGTTTCCCTCATAGGTTTTCTCTGGGAGCACCCATGAGGGTGTAGGAGACTCCGGTTAGGTGGGGTTTCCCTCACAGGTTTTCTCTGGGAGCACCCATAAGGGTGTAGGAGACCCCAGTTAGGGGGGGTTTGCCTCATAGGTTTTCTCTGTGAGCCTCCACAATGGGGTAGGAGACCCCAGTTAGGGGGGGTTTCCCTCATAGGCCTCGCCTGGGAACACCACAGGGGGCAGGACCCTCATTTAGGGGGGGTTTCCCTCACAGGTTTTCTCTGGGAATGCCCATGGGGGTAGAGAGAGACCCCGGTTAGGGGGGTTTCCCTCATAGGTTTTCTCTGGGAGCACCCATGAGGGTGTAGGAGACACCAGTAGGGGGGGTTTCCCTCAAAGGTTTTCTCTGGGAGCATCCATAAGGGTGTAAGAGACCCCAGTTAGGGGGGCTTTCCCTCATAGGTTTTCTCTGGGAGCGCCCATGGGGGGTAGGAGACACCAGTTAGGGGGGGTTTCCCTCATAGGTTTTCTCTGGGAGCCTCCACAATGGGGTAGGAGACCCCGGTTAGGGGGGTTTCCCTCACAGGTTTTCTCTGGGAGTGCCCATGAGGGTGTAGGAGACCCTGGTTAGGGGGGTTTCCCTCACAGATTTTCTCTGGGAGTGCCCACAGGGGTGTAGAAGACCCCAGTTAGGGGGGTTTTCCTCACAGACCTTGCCTGGGGACACCATGGCAACAGGACCCCCAGTTAGGACGTGTTTCCCTCACAGTTTTCTCTGGGAGTGCCCACAATGGGGCCATAGGAGACCCCAGTTAGGGGGGATTTCCCTCATAGGCCTCGCCTGGGAACACCACAGGGGGCAGGACCCCCAGTTAGGGGGAGTTTCCCTCACAGATTTTCTCTGGGAGCGCCCACAATGGGGTAGGAGACCCCAGTTAGGGGGGGTTTCCCTCATAGGCCTCGCCTGGGAACACCATGGCAACAGGACACCCCAGTTAGGATGTGTTTCCCTCACAGGTTTTCTCTGGGAATGCCCATGGGGGATGTAGGAGACCCCAGTTAGGGAGAGTTTCCCTCACAGTTTTCTCTGGGAGTGCCACACCCCTCATGAGACAGTCACACCCCTCAGGTGACAGGGACACCCTCAGGGGTCACAAGGACACCCCCAGGCGCCGCCAGGACACCCCTCAGGAGATGAAGACACCCCTCAGGAGATGGGGACACCCCTCAGGAGATGGGGACAACCCTCAGGGCACAGTCACACCCCTCAGGGCACAGTCATACACCCCTCAGGGAAATGTCACAGCCCTCAGGGCACAGTCACACCCCTCAGGGCACAGTCACACCCCTCAGGGAAATGTCACAGCCCTCAGGGAACTGTCACACCCTCAGGGCACGGTCACACCCCTCAGGTGACAGGTACACCCTCCGGGGTCACCAGGACACCCCCAGGCGCCGCCAGGACACCTCAGAGATGGGGATTCCCTCAGGTACAGGGGACACCCTCAGGAGATGAAGACACCCCTCAGGAGATGGGGACACCCCTCAGGAGATGGGGACACCCCTCAGGTGACAGGGACACCCTCAGGAGATGAAGACACCCCTCAGGAGATGGGGACACCCCTCAGGAGATGGGGACACCCCTCAGGTGACAGGTACACCCTCCGGGGTCACCAGGACACCCCCAGGCGCCGCCAGGACGCCCCTCACAACCCCCCCGCGCCTCTCTCACCGTCTCGTAGTCGCGCAGGGCGGCCTTGAACTTGCCCAGGGCCATGTTGCTGGCGGCGCGCCGGTAGTAGCCCTTGACGTACTTGGCGTCGAGCTGCACGGCGCGCGTGGCGTCGGCCAGGGCGTAGCCGTAGCACTCGGTGCGCAGGTAGGCCAGGCTGCGGTTGCCGTAGTAGATGGCGTTGCCGGGGTTCAGCTCGATGGCGCTGCTGTAGAACTTCACCGCGTTCTCGTAGTCCTTCCCTGGGGGGAGCCCCGGGGGGAAGGGGGGGCAGGAGAGGTGGTTGGGGGGGAGGTTTGGGGGTGGTTTCCCTCATAGGTTTTCTCTGGGGAGCACCATGGGGTGTAGAGACCCCAAGTTAGGGGGGGTTTCCCTCACAGGTTTTCTCTGGGAGCACCCATGAGGGTGTAGGAGACCCCAGTTAGGGGGGATTTGCCTCACAGGTTTTCTCTGGGAGGCACCATGGGGGCAGGAGACCCCAGTTAGGAGTGTTTCCCTCACAGGTTTTCTCTGGGAGCACCCATGAGGGTGTAGGAGACCCCAGTTAGGGAGGTTTCCTCACAGGTCTTTCTCTGGGAGGCACCACAGTGGGGTAGAGACCCCCAGTTAGGGGGTTTCCCTCATAGGTTTTCTCTGGGAGCACCCATGAGGGGTGTAGGAGACCCCAGTTAGGGGGGGTTTCCCTCACAGGTTTTCTCTGGCAGTGCCCACAGGGCCATAGGAGACCCCAGTTAGGGGGGTTTCGCTTGCCTGGGAACACCATGGGGGGCAGGACCCCCAGTTAGGGGGGGTTTCCCTCATAGGTTTTCTCTGGGAGGCTCCACAATGGGGTAGGAGACCCCGGTTAGGGGGGTTTCCCTCATAGGTTTTCTCTGGGAATGCCCATGGGGGTATAGGGAGACCCCGGTTAGGGGGGGTTTCTCTCACAGGTTTTCTCTGGGAGCACCCACGAGGGTGTAGGAGACCCCAGTTAGGGAGTCTCTCCCTCACGAGCTTTTCTCTGGCAGGGCCCATAGGGCCATAGGAGACCCCAGTTAGGGGGGTTTCCCTCATAGGCCTTGCCTGGGAACACCACAGGGGGCAGGACTCCCAGTTAGAGGGGTTTTCCCTCATAGGTTTTCTCTGATAGCACCCACAGGGTGTCAGGACACCCGGTTGAGGAGTCCTCTGCAGTCCCACTGCCTCCATCATCCCCTCTCTGGCAGCCCCCATTGCCCCCATTACCCCCCTATCTGACAGCCCCCATTGCCCCCATTACCTCCCTATCTGACAGCCCCCATTGCCCCCATTATCCCCCTCTCTGGCAGCCCCACTGCCCCCATTATCCCCCTATCTGGCAGCCCCATTGCCTCATTATCCCCCTGACAGCCCCCATTACCCCCTATCTGCGCCCCCATTGCCCCATTACCCCCTCTCTGGCAGCCCCCATTGCCCCCATTATCTCCCTCTCTGGCAGCCCCCATTGCCCCATTACCCCCTATCTGACAGCCCCATTGCCTCCATTATCCTCCCTATCTGACAGCCCCCATTGCCCCCATTATCCCCCTCTCTGGCAGCCCCCACTGCCCCCATTATCCCCCTATCTGGCAGCCCCCATTGCCTCCATTATCCCCTCCTGACAGCCCCATTACCCCCCTATCTGGCAGCCCCATTGCCCCCATTACCCCTCTCTGGCAGCCCCATTGCCCCCATTATCCCCTCTCTGGCAGCCCCCATTGCCCCCATTACCACCCTCTCTGGCAGCCCCCATTGCCCCCATTACCCCTATCTGACAGCCCCCATTGCCCCATTACCCCCTCTCTGGCAGCCCCATTGCCCTCTATCTGACAGCCCCCATTGCCCCCATTATCCCCTCTCTGACAGCCCCCATTGCCCCCGTTACCCCCTATCTGACAGACCCCATTGCCCCCATTATCCCCCTATCTGACAGCCCCCATTACCCCCTATCTGGCAGCCCTCATTGCCTCCACTGCCGCCCCCATAACTCCCTATCTGGCCCCCCATAGGTCTCCCTGGCTCCCTATCTGGCACCCCCATCTCTCCCCATTGCCCCTCATGGCTCACTATCTGGCAGCACCCATTACCCCCAATGGCTCCCTATCTGGCAGCCCCCGTTTCCCGGCCCAGGCCCGCTCCCCGGCGGCGCCGCTCCCCGGTACCTTTGAAGAACTCGTTCGCGCGGGCCTTGAGCGCCTCTGCGCGCTCCAGCTCGGCGGGGCTCGGGGGCCGCCCGGGGCCGGCGCCGCCGCCGCTCCCCGCCCGCTCTTCCTCCGCCATGGTCGGGCCGCAAAGCGCCGCCGCCCCGCCGGCTGCCGCCGCCAAGCGCCGCTGTCGCAAAGCCTCACCGGGGAAGGGGGGAGATGTCGCAAAACCGGGGGGGGGAGTAAAGGGGCGGGGGTCCCAAAATCCACCTTGACCCCAAAACCCACCGGGTCCTCAAATCCCGCCGTGTCCTCAGAGCCCCTCGTGTCCCCCAAACCCACCGGGTCTCTAGAGCCCTCCATATCCCCAAAGCCCCCATGTCCCCAAAGCCCCCCGTGTCCCCTCCTGTCCCCATCACCCCTTCCACAGTGTCCCCAAAACCCACCACGTCCCCAAAGTCCCCCGTGTCCCCCAAACCCACCACATCCCCAAGGCCCCCGTGTCCCTAAAGTCCCTGGGTCCCCTCCTGTCCCCATCACCCCTTCCACAGTGTCCCCAAAACCCACCACGTCCCCAAAGTCCCCCGTGTCCCTAAAGCCCCCTGAGTCCCCAAAACCACCGTGTCCCCAAACCCCCCCGTGTCCCCAAAGGCCCTCGTGTCCCCAAAGCCCCCCATGTTCCCTCCTGTCCCCATCATCCCCTTCACAGTGTCCCCAAAACCCTCCGTGTCCCCAAAGCCCCCCGTGTTCCCTCCTGTCCCCATCATCCCCTCCACAGTGTCCCCAAAACTCCCCGTGTCCCCAAAACCCTCTGTGTCCCCAAAGGCCCCCGTGTCCCCTGTGTCCCCAAAGCCCCTCATATCCCCTGGGTAACCAAAACCCTCTGTGTCCCCAAAGCCCCCCATGTCCCCCATTCCGCTGGTGCCCCAGGGTGCCGGGTTATACATCTGAGGTTTGGTTGTTTTTGTTTTTTTTTTTTTTTTTGTGGGTTAAAACCTCTGTATAATTGTATTTATCGTGTTATTTTTATAAAATCATAATTCTGATTGACGATCTCCTTTGGAGTTGGGGCCATTTCTCCAGCCAGTTTGCCCCTTTAAAACCAGCACCTCCAGAATGAGCTGGGCCAACAGCTCTTTCCCCAAAGTGCTGCCCCATGGGTGACTCCTCCGTGGGGTGCAGCCCCTTTGCCCGTGAGCTTTGTGTGCGGGCAGGAAATGCAGTTGGCCCTCCCGCCGCCCAAAATTCAATATGTGGGCGAAGGTTCCTCCCAGACCGAGGGTGCCCGCACAGAAGGCAAGACCTGGGAGCACTGGTAGGAACTGGGGGGCACTGTGAAGGGACTGGAAGCGGAGCGGGAGGGACTGCGTGGCACTGGGAGTGGACTGGGAGGCAGTGGAGTGGGACTGGGGGGTCCCTGGAATGGGAGTGGGGGGTGACTGGGTGGACTGGAGGGGTCCCAGGTGTGTCCCCGTCACCCCCTCACCTGCCCAGGTACGACCCTGAGAACTTGGCCACCCTGGAGACCCAGGCCAAGGAAAATGTCCACGACCTGGAAGCCAACCTGGCTGTGCTGAAGCTGTGAGTGCCAAGGGTGGGCTGGGAAAGGGTGGGAAATGTGAGGGGAAAAGGGTGGGAAAAGTGAGGGGAAAAGGGAGGGAAATGTGAGGGGAAAAGGGAGGGAAATGTGAGGAGAAAGGGCGAAATGAGGAAAGTGAGGAAAAAGTGAGGCGGGAAAGAGAAGTGAGGGGAAAAGGGCGGGAAACGTGAGGGGAAAAATAAGGAAAAAGTGAGGTGAAAATAGAGGGAAATGTGAGGGGAAAAGGGCGGGAAAAGTGAGGGGAAAATGTGATGGGAAAAGGGCGGGAAACGTGAGGGGAAAATGGAGGGAAATGTGAGGGGAAAAGGGCGGGCAAAGTGAGGGGAAAAGGGCGGGAAAAGTGAGGGGAAAAGGGCGGGAAATGTGAGGGGGAAAAGGGCGGGAAACGTGAGGGGAAAATGGTGGGAAACGTGAGGGGAAAATGGAGGGAAATGTGAGGGGAAAATGGTGGGAAACGTGAGGCAAAAATGGAGGAAACGTGAGGCAAAAATGGAGGGAAAAGTGAGGGGGAAAATGGCAGGAAACGTGAGGGGAAAATGGAGGGAAACGTGAGGGGAAAATGGAGGGAAACGTGAGGGGAAAATGGAGGGAAATGTGAGGCAAAAATGGAGGGAAATGTGAGGGGAAAATGGTGGGAAACGTGAGGGGAAAATGGCGGGAAACGTGAGGGGGAAAAGGGTGGGAAAAGTGAGGGGAAATGGAGGAAACGTGAGGGGAAAATGGAGGGAAATGTGAGGCAAAAATGGAGGGAAATGTGAGGGGAAAAGGTCAGGAAACATGGGGGAACAGGGCGGGAAACGTGGGGGGGAAAAGGCAGGAAAAGTGAGGGGAAAAGGGTGGGAAATGTGAGGGGGAAAAGGGCGGGAAACGTGAGGGGAAAAGCGAGGGGACAAAATGGCGGGAAGCGTGAGGGGGTCCCTTGCGCTCAGGTACCATTTCAACCCGGCCTTCTTCCAGATGGCGGTGACGGCGCAGATCCTGCTCGAGGCCCTCACCAACCTCCCCCACACCGACTCCACCGATCCTCGCATGATCGACCAGGCCCGCTTATCCCTGCGGCTGGAATTCCACCAGGAACCCCTGCAGTTCCACAGGGAAAGCCCCCCCCTGCCCCTTTTCCATTGGGAATTCTCCAGGGACCCTCCCGGTACCGGATTCCTCACAGTTTCCCCCCCACCAGGATCCCTTATCATTGAATTCCATGGGGATTTAGGGATTTGGAGGGACCCGCAGTTCCATTGGGAACCCCAGAATTCCTTAGGGAACTCCCCATTCCGTAGGGAATTCCCCTGGGAACCCCCTTTCCCTGAGGACCCCCAGCCCCGGGTCCCTCAGTCCCTCAAAGCCCCCCTCCCCATCCAAGATCCACCACCATCCCGTTCCATAGGCAATTCCATGGGGATTTAGAGATTTGGGAACCTCACAATTCTCTAGGAGTCCCCAGAATTCCATGGAGAACCCCTAAAATTCCATATGGAATTCCATGGGGATGACCAGACCCACGTCCCTGAGTTCCTCAAACCTCCCCCACCTCCAACAAGAGCCTTCATCATCCCACTCCGTAGGGAATTCTATGGGATTTTAGGGATTTGGGGCACCCCCAGTTCTCTGGGGAGCCTCCAATTCCATAGGCAGCCCCCAAAATTCCACAGGAACCCCCTTTTCCCTGCCCCACACTCCCCAATCCCTCCCCAGGGGGATCAAACCTGGTGCCTCAACCCCCAAAATCTCCCCCAAAACCACCCGGATTTTGGGATTGGGGCAGGGAATTAATTTGGGGTCCCCAGAGCAATTTTGGGGAGGTGCTCTGGAATTTGGGGATCCCCAGACCAATTTGAGGGGGGTGTTAAGACTTGGGGGTCCCAAGGCCAAGGGGAGGGGTTTTGGGCTTTGGGGGGGGGGGTGTCTGGAATTGGGGGGGTCCCAGCTCGGGGGGTGGTTCCAAATCTCCCTTTATTCCAACAAATCCCTGGAACGTAGAAAATCCGCTCCCCACCCCCCCAAAATTATCCATGAACCCCAAATCCCATTGATTCGACACAACAATCACACCCCCCCCCCCAAAATAAAACAAATAAGGGGTGGGGGGGCCCCCCAACAGCGCTGGGACCCCCCAAAATTCAGGGAAGGGACAAAGAGACCCCCCTGGATGGTGAATCCACATGGGAAAAGGGAGGGAAAATGTCCCAAACTGGGGATTCGGGGAGGGTCAGGGTGGGTTTTTTGGGGTGAGGAGGTTCAGAGGGTTCCCCCCAATTTCTGATTCCCCCAAAATCCCGTTTTTCCTACAAAATCCTGGTTTTCCTACAAAAATCACCCCAAATCATCCGGTGAAAAAAAGGCGACGGATCGTTAAAGGGAAGGTGGGAGTTGTCTTCAGGGGGGGCTCAGGGTGGTTTTTGGGGTGGGGGGTCTCGGGTGAGGAGATTCAGAGGGTCCCCCCTGATTTCTCATTGCCCCAAATCCCGTTTTTTCCTACAAAAATCCCGTTTTTCCCTACAAAAATCACCCCAAATCAGCCAGGACAAAAGCGACGGGAGGCAGGAGGTGCCTGAGGGGGAGGGATTTTGGGGGTTTTTTGGGGGGGGCAGGAAGGAGGGGGTGCCCCCCAACCCCTCAGACGGTGTAGTCGTCCTTCATCAGACATTCCGTGTCGTCCCGGGGGGGTTTGGATCCCGATCCCGATCCTGGCAGGTCCCGTTTCCTCCGGAGCAGCCGCAGCCCCGCCCGGATCCCGAATCCCAGAGCGGCCCCCGCCGCCAGGAGACCCCCCAGAACCAGCCCTGGGGGGGCAAAACGGGGGGGACACCCCCAAAAACGGGGTCAGAGAAGGGGAGGGCGCACTGAGGGGTACGGGGGGTGGACTGGGAGGGCACTGGGGGGAACTTGGGGGGTACTGGAGAGGGACTGGGGGCACTGGGAAGGGACGGGGGGACATTGGGGGGATATTGGGGGACACAGGGAGCACTAGGGGTCATTGTGGGTGTACTGGGGGACACTGGGGGGGTACTGAGGGGACACCGGGGACATTGGGAATACTGGGGGACACTGGGGAGCAATGGGGGGGTTACTGGGGGATGTTGGGGGTCACTGGGAACACAGGGGAGGACACTGGGAGGGTAGGGGAGGATATGGGGGCAACTGGGAGGGTACTGGGGAACACTGGGAACACTGGGGGAACACTGGGAGCAGTGGGGACACTGGGAACACTGGGGGAACACTGGGGAGCAGTGGGGGACACTGGGAACACTGGGGGAGCACTGGTGGGGGTGGGGGCTCCCAAGCTCCAGGACTCACCTTTGGTGGCCAAAAACCGCCGGAATTCGGCGCTGGGATCACCTGGGGAGGGGAGAAACCAGGATGAGTTGGGGATTGGGGGCACTGGGGTTGTGATCAGGGGATGTCCCGGGGTGGAGGGTGTCCCGGGGTTGGGGTGGGGTCCCAGGGTGGGGTGGGGGTCCCGGACCTGTCGGGGGGCGGCAGCGGCGCAGACACTCCTCGCGGTCGGGGTGGTTGTTGCCGTTGCCGCGGCAGCCGCCGTAGGTGAATTCCCGGCAGGAATTCTCGGCCGGGACGAAGTACCAGCGCACGAAGGACGCCCGGCACGGGCCCGTCACGGGGGGAGCCGAGCAGCGCTCTGGGGGGAGGCACAGGAGGGGTTAAAAGGGATCTGGGGGAGGACGACAAAGACCTCCCAAAGTTCCCCCCAGGGAAACAGGGGGAGGTACCTGCCAAGGTGGAGTTGGGACGATCCAGAGCTGTGGGAAAAAAGAGGAGGAGGGAAGGGGTCAAAACGACCCAGAATGAGGCAGGGGTTGGGGGGAGCTTTGTTCCCAAATTTGTTCCAATTCCCCCAGTGACCCCGTCCCGGATCCCCTCCTGGGACCCCCCTGGTGCTCACCCACCCCAGGACCCCCGCATCCTCCTGGCATTCCCAAAGTTGTTCCCGTTCCTCAGGACCCTCCTCAGGACCCCCTGAGTGCTCACCCTGCCCGGGACCCCCGCACCCCTCCCGGCATTCCCGAACTTGTTCCCGTTCCCCCTGGGACCCCTAGTGCTCACCCTGCTCAGGACCCCGCATCCCTCCTGACATTCCCGAACTTGTTCCCGTTATCCCCTGGGACCCCCCCGGTGCTCACCCCGCTCCGGGACCCCCCGCACCCCTCCCGGCATTCCCGCTCGCTCCCGAAGTTGTTCCCGTTCCCTCAGGACCCCCGGTGCTCACCCGCCCGGGACCCCCCACCCCTCCCGGCATTCCCGCTCGCTCCCGAAGTTGTTCCCGTTCCCTCAGGACCCCCCCGGTGCTCACCCCGCTCCGGGACCCCCCCGCACCCCTCCCGGCATTCCCGCTCGCTCCCGAAGTTGTTCCCGTTCCCGCCGCATCCGCCGAACACGAAACTCTCGCAGGCGCCGCTGGAGGCGTTGAAGAACCAGCGGGGGATGGAGGCGCGACAGCGGCCCGTGAGCGCCGGTAACCGGCACCGATCTGGGGGGGGGAACCGTCACCGACCCCCCCGGGGCGGCTCTGGGGGGCTGCACCCCCAAAATCACCCCAAACCCCCCCAAAATCACCCCCAAAACCCACCACAGACCCCCCGGAACCGGCCCGTGAGCGCCGGTAACCGGCACCGATCTGGGGGGGGGAACACACGTTAACGGTCCCCCCGGGAACGATTTTTGGGGTGGGGACAGAATCCCAAAACCCCTCCCTGTGCCCCCTAAAAGCTCATGACCACCTCAGACCCCAGAAACTCGTCTCCTGAGAACCCCCAAGCCTTCCTGGAACCCCAACCCCCCCAGTCTCCGGTCCCACTCCCTTCCCCGCCAGGACCCCCAAAACTCTTCCCAGTACTCCCCAGGCCCCTCCACGACCCCCCCAAACCCCTTCCAGGACCCCCAAAACCCTCCCGAGAACTCCTTCCAAACCTCCGCTCCCCTCTGCTCCGGCCTCCCAAACCCCCCGCGCCCCCAGTGCCGTCCAGGATGATGTTGGCGGGGGGGGGCTCTGGTGGGGGGACCCCCCGGACCCCCCCCAGGAGCAGCAGGAGGAGCGGGAGGAGCCGCCCCGCCGCCATCGCAGGTGAGCGGCGGCGACGTCACACAGGTGCGCCGCTGTGGCCACGCCCACTCCCGGTCAGGTCACGCCCACCACCCCCGAAGGCCCCGGTTGGGGTTTCCTTTTGGCCACGCCCCCTAAAATAGGCCACGCCTCCATTGCGGGAGAGGCCACGCCCCTTGTAACAGCCGCGCCCTCGGTGCGGTTTGGCCACGCCCCCTCGCTGCAAACCACGCCCCCTTTTATAACTCCCCACGGAGGTTTGGGGCGTTTTAGGGGATTTGGGGGAGTTTTGGGGGTTATGGGGGGCCGGGAGGGGTTACTGGGGATTTTGGGGGGTTTTAGGGGGCAATGGAGGGGTTATAGGGGAGTTATTGGGGGTTATAGAGGGTTACTGGCGGGGTTATGGAGGGTTAGGGGGTTATAGGGGCATTATTGGGGGGTTATAGGGGTTATGTGGGGGCTGTAGAGAATTAGGGGAGTTATAGAGGATTTGGGGGGGTTATAGGGGCGTTATTGGGGGTTAAGAGGGTTACTGGAGGGGTTATAGAGGATTGGGGGCTTATAGGGGCTATGGGGGTTATAGGGGTTATAGGGGCATTATTGGGGGTTATTGAGGGTTACTGGGGTTACAGAGGATTAAGGGGTTATAGGGGATTAGGAGGTTATAGGGGCTATGGGGGTTATTAGGGAGTTATAGAGGATTAGGGGGTTATAGGGCGTTATTGGGGTTAAGAGGGGTTACTGGAGGGTTATAGAGATTGGGGGTTATAGGGGCTATGGGGGTTATAGGGGCTATAGGGGGTTATAGGGGCATTATTGGGGGTTATTGAGGGTTACTGGGGGTTACAGAGGATTAAGGGGGTTATAAGGGATTAGGAGAGGTTATAGGGCTATGGGGGTTATTAGGGAGTTATAGAGGGATTAGGTGGGTTATAAAGGGTGTTGTGGGGGTTATGGGGGTTATAGCGAGGCCTACTAGGAGTTATAGGGCTGCGTGGAGGCTTTAGGGGGTTCTCGGGGTTAAAGGAGCTGGGGGGCTTTAGGCGGGGGCTCCTGGGCGAGTCCTGCTAAGCCCCGCCCGAGCCCACCCAGGCCCTGCTCCTCCGGCCCCGCCTCTCGCCCCCTACCCTGGGGACTCTTGGGGGTCTGGGGGCTCTGGGCGAGTCCTCGCTGTAAGCCCCCACCCGAGCCCACCCAGACCGCGCCCACAGACCCGCCCCTCGCCCCCAACCCCTGGGGACCTAAGGGGGGCTATGGGGGTCCTCTCTTTAAGCCCCACCTAGAGCCCACCCAGACCCTGCCCCGGCCCTGCCCGTCGCCCCTATCCCTGGGGACCTAAGGGGGGCTATGGGGGGTCCTCGCTTTAAGCCCCACCGAGACCCCGCCCCCGGCCCCGCCTGTCGCCCCGGCCTCGCCGCCCCCGGGCTCGTCCTGGGCTCGCCATCGATGGCGGCGGAGCGGGTGGGGCGGCGGCAGGGCCGGGGGTCCCGCCGCGGGGCGGCCCTGGGAGCTCTCCCGGCTCAGGGTCCCCGCCCGCAGCCCGGGGGTCCAGCGGCGCCCGGCCCGGGCCACCGTCAAGTACAACCGGAGGGAGCTGCAGCGAAGGCTCGACACGGAGCTCTGGATCGACGGCAGGCTCGGAGAGCTCTACCGGGGAAGGGTACCGGGAACTGGGACCGGGATGGGAATGGGGATGGGGATGGGAACAGGGACCGGGGATGGGAACCGGGAATGGGGGCTCGACACGGAGCTCTGGATCGACGGCAGGCTCGGAGAGCTCTACCGGGGAAGGGTACCAGGAACCGGGACCGGGAACAGGGATGGGAACAGGGAATGGGAACAGGGAATGGGGATGGGAACAGGGACCGGGGATGGGAACAGGGAACGGGGACCGGTGATGGGGAACGGGAATGGGGAGCGGGATGGGAATTAGGAATGGGGACTGGGAACAGGGAACAGGAATGGGAGTGGGAGTGGAGACCAGGATTGGAGATGGGAACCGGGAATGGGGACTGGGTAAGGGTGCTGGGAATGGGAACCGGGAATGGGGTAGAAATGGGAACAGGGACCGGGAATGGGGATGGGAGTGGGGTGGGAAATGGGGCAGGTACTGGGAATGGGGTGGGAATGGGAACAGGGATGGGAATAGGAATGGGGGCCAGGAAAGGGATGACAGATTGGAACTGGGAGTGGAAACAGGACTGGGAAATGGAGCCGGGACTGGGAAATGGAGCTGGGACTGGGAAATGGAGCTGGGACCAAGAACCAGGAATGGGGATGGGACTGGACTGGGAAAGGGAGCTGGGAGTGGGACTGGGAACCGGGAATGGAACGGAGATGGGAATGGGAGTGGGAATAGGGGTGGGAATGAGGAGTGGGGAGCGGGAATGGGAACAAGGACTGGGAAAGGGAGGGGGAGCGGGAATGGGAACGGGAATGGGGAGCAGGCCCAGGCTCAGCACCGGGACAAGGCCAGGAATGGGGGCCGGGAGTGGGGGCTGGGCGGCCCCAGGGGCTCCCACTCAGGATTCCCCCCCTCCCTCCCGTGGGAAGGGACAGATGGGGTGGCAGATGTCCCGTTATCCCGTGGGAATGGGACACAGGGAGGGGGGGACACACGAGGGGGTTGGGGACCCTGGGTGTACTAGGGGGGTTGTTGAGGGACACTCGGAGCAAGGGGGAGGGACACGCGTGGAAGGGCCTTGGGGACACTCGGGGGTGGGGACACGCGTGGGAGGGGTTTGGGGTCACGCGACGGGGTGCTGGGGACACTCTGGGTGTGCCGGGGGTGCTGGGGACACGCGTGGGAGGGTCTGTGGACACGCGTGGGAGGATTGGGGGACTCGGTGCTGGGGGACGTCAGGGACCGGCGGGGGCGGATTTGGGACGCCCCCAGCCCGCGGGGATGAGGAGGGTGTCACGCGTGGGCGGGCCACGCGTGGGAATCCCACAGAGCTCCTGTGTGTCCCCTCCCATCCAGGAGGGTGAGATGCCGGACGAGCTGAACATCGACGAGCTCCTGGAGTTGGAGACCGACCAGGAACAGAGCCCAGAAGCTCCAGGTGAGGGGGAGGGGCTTGAGGAGGCACCCACGCGAGTTTTGAGTGGGGGACACGCGTGACAACCCCTCTCCCTCACCTTAATCCCTCCCCCATTCCCCATCCAGGGAATCCTGAGCTCCTGCACTGCCGACACACAGGTATTGGGGGAAATTGGGGGTGGGACACGAGTGGGAGGGGGGACACGAGTGGGGGGACGCACGAGTGCAGGGGCCGCGCCAAATTCCCCCAGGTCCTTTCCCAGCTCGGGCTGCTCCAACAGGGCTTTAAAGGCAAAACTATTTGGATGTGGCGTTTCGGGGCCTCTCCCCTTTATCTCGGGCAGCGGCTCGGGGGTTGGGGGCCGTGGGAATTAATGAGGGGGTTAATTAGGGGGTTAATTAGGGAGGGGGCTCTAACTGCGGGAATCGCGGGCAGGGCTTCATCCAGGAGCTCCTCGAGCAGCTCAAGGGGCTCCCGAAGCAGCAACTCCTGCAGAGACCCCCCTCAAGAGGCGCCTGCGACCCCCGTGACCCCCAAAAGGGTGACACCCCACCCCCTCACGATGTATTTGACACTCTCCCCACGCCCGCGTGGAATAAATCGTGCACAGAGTGGGAGGTGATGGTGGTGAGACCCCCAAAAATAAGAGTTGGGGACTCAAATAAATTTTGGGATCCCCCTTCCCCAAAACACCAGCGGCGTGGAAGGGGCACGAGGGGGATATGGGGGACACGAACACGAGGGGGACAAAGGGACGTTGAGGGGACACGGGGGACACGAACACCTGGGGGACACACGGACATGGGGGGACACGGGGGACACACGGACATGGGGGACACGGGGGGACAAACAGAGCATGGGGGACACAGGGGGCACTGGGGAGTCACACGGACACGGGTGGGGGCAGGGACACCAAAAGGGGTCACGGGACCCCCTTCGCCCTCCATCCACCCCCAAATCTGTTGTCGCCGCTCCGTCCTCCCCCGCCCTCCCCCGTGTCCAGCTGTTGAGGCCGGATCCAGATGTTGGAACATCTGGGCAGGAAGCGCCGCCCCGCCCCCCTCCCTCCCCGCGAGAACCCCCGCCCCGTTTCCTGTTGGGGCCCTGCGTGGTTCCCGCCCCAAAATTGGGGGTCCAACCCCCAAAAAAACGACTGAACCCCAAAATCCTCTTTATTGGGGGAAAAAGGTCCAAAATGGGGGGAGGGGGAAGAGACCCCCACAACGTGCCTCCCCTCCAAACACCCCTAAAATCTCCTGCAACCCCCAAATTTTCCCCACTCGAGGAGCCCCCAAACCTCCCGTAGACCCCCAAACACCCCCAAAACAGCCCCCGAGACCCCCAAACCCCCATGACCCCCAAAGACTCTCAGAAACCCCAATGTCCCCCAACTCCTCCTGAGGCCCCTCCCAAAACCCCCTCTGAGCCCCCAAATGCTCCCAAATCCCCTTCAAGATCCCCCAAAAGCCCCTGAGCCCCCAGGGACCCCCAAATCCCCTGCCCCCAAAACCCCTTTGAGACCCCAAACCCCAACCCCCCAACCACCTTAGGACCCCCAAACCCCTCCAAATCCCCTGAGACCCCCGAAAAGCCCCAAACCCCTTTAGGACCCCCCAAACCCCTCCAAGACCCCCAAAAGCCACCCCCATTCAGGCTCCAAGTCGGGTTATTTGCATATATTTACATATTTATTACACTGGCCCCGCCCCTCCCGCCCGCCCCTCCCCCTCGCCCCGGAGGGCCAAAATTCCCTAAAAAGAAAAAAAAAAACCCAAAACCAACCAAAAAGAAAAAACCCCCGGAACCCCCCACCCAAAAAACCCCCAAACCTCAATCCCAAGAAATCCTTTTACAAAAGTCCCGTTTTCTTCCCCCAAAAAAATTCCCGGCAAAAAAAAGTGGGAAATGAGAGTAAAAAAATCGGTGCCTTTTTGGGGGCAAAACCCCCCCCCCCCCCTTTTTGGGGCTTTTCAGGGCTGCTCAAAAATGTGATTTCCTCACCCTCCCAAAAAAGGGGTTTTTTTCCCCAAAAATGAGTTCTTTTTTTCCCCAAAAATGAGGGGTTTTCCCCCCCAAATTAGGTGGGTTTTCCCCCAAAATGAGGGGGTTTTTTCTCCCCCCAAAAAAAGTTGTTTGTCCCCCCCCAAAAAAAAACCTTTCCCAGGGGTTTTGGTTGAAAATTCAGCCCCAAATTGCCCAAAATTGTTATTTTTTTGGGGCTCAAAATCCCCCTTCTCCAGCTCCAAATCCCGAGGGAAAGAGGTGAAAATTCCAGATTTTGGTTCAAATGATCCCAAAGTTTTTTCCACTCCCCCCAGAATGGAAATTTTTCCAGGATTTTGGTGCAGTTTGGCATTTTTTTGTCCACGATTTCAGGATTTTTTCCCTATTTTTACACATTTCCCCCAATTTGGGAAGTTTTCCGTGATTTCTCTGTATTTTCCTGTCTTTTCTTGAGCAGATTTTGGTGTATTTTGATTTTCTGGGGGCATTTTTTTCATGTTTTCCCCATAATTTTGTCCATTTTTTTATGATTTTTCCCATATTTTCGCCCATTATCCCAAGATTTTCCCCCCTATTTTTATGCATTTTCTGAGATTTGGGATTTTTCCATGAATTTCCTGTCTTTTCCTGGGCAATTTTTTTCTGGTTTTTTGCTCGGTTTTTTATGGATTTTCATAATTTTTGTCCATTTTTTGATCATTTCCAGCTGTTTTTTCCTGATTTTCTCCTCATTTTCTCCCCTTTCCCAAAGCAAAATCTGCCAAAGAGCCTCAGATCTCCCCAAAACTTGATTTAATCCAGTGAAAAACAGGATTTCAGGAGCCCCCAGCACCACATTTTGGGGCAAAAGCCCAACAATTTGGGGCATTTTGCCGTTGGAAACAACAAAATTCTTGGGTTTTCCCCCCCAAAATTGGGGTTTTTTGGGGAAAAAAAAAAGGGAAATGAAGCCAAAAGGGTTTTCATTTGTCACTGCCAGGGAAAATTCCTGGGAATTTGGGGAAAATCCGGGATTTATTTACAGTTTCTATGGCTGAAGAGAAAGGAAAAGGAGCAAAAAGCGACAAAATGACCCCAAATCCACCCAAAATCCACCTGAAAATCCACCCAGGGCTGCTCTGGGGGGAATTTCTGGAGCAGAATTGGAATTTTTGGAGCAGAATCTGGAATTTCTGGAGCAGCTTTGGGATTTTTTGGGTCAAACTCGGGGGTTTTGGGGTCAATTTTGGGGGGTTTTGGGTCTGCTTCGGGGTTTTTGGGGCAGGTTTGGTTTTTTGGGGGACAGGTTTGGGCATTTGGGGTTTTTTGGGCCAATTTTGGGGGGTTTTGGGTCTGCATCAGTTTTCTGGGGCAGCTTTTGGGGGTGTTTTTGGGGTTATTTTGGGGCAGTTTGGGGATTTTTGGAGGCCTTGAATGCAACCTTGAGCCGGGCTGGGGTTTCTGGGTGGATTTGGGGAGTTTTGGCTGGATTTGAGTATTTTCAGCCGGATTTTTGGGTGGATTTGGGGTTCCTGGGTGGATCTGGGGTTGTTTAAGCCAGATTTTTGGGTGGATTTGTGGTTTCTGGGTGGCTTTGGGGCGATCCTGGCTGGATTTGGGGTCACCCTCACTGGCAGAAGGGCGAGGCCATGGGGTCGAAGTCCTTGAAGACGTCCTTGAGCCAGGCTGGGGTTTTGGGTGGATTTCGGGGTTTCTGGGTGGATTTGGGATTTCTGGATAGATTTTGGGGTCTCTGGGTGGATTTGGGATTTCTGGATAGATTTTGGGGTTTCTGGGTGGATTTGGGATTTCTGGATAGATTTGGGGTTTCTAGATGGATTTGGGGTTTCTGGATAGATTTTGGGGTCTCTGGGTGGATTTGGGGTTTTTGGATAGATTTTGGGGTCTCTGGGTGGATTTGGGATTTCTGGATAGATTTTGGGGTTTCTGGATAGATTTGGGGTTTCTGGGTGGATTTGGAGTTTTTGGATGGATTTGGGGTTTCTGGGTGGATTTGGGGTTTTTGGGTGGATTTGGGGTTTTGGATGGATTTGAGGTTTCTGGGTGGATTTGGGGTCTCTGGGCAGATCTGGGGTATTTTCAGCCGGATTTTTGGGTGGATTTGGGGCATTTCTGGCCGGATTTCAGGCTGCCCTCACTGGCAGAAGGGCGAGGCCATGGGGTCGAAGCCCTTGAAGACGTCCTTGAGCCGGGCTGGGGTTTCTGGGTGGATTTGGGGTTTTTGGGTGGATTTGGGGTTTCTGGGTGGATTTGGGGTTTTTGGGTGGATTTTGGGGTTTCTGGGTGGATTTGGGATTTCTGGGTGGATTTGGGGTTTCTGGGTGGATTTGGAGTTTTTGGATGGATTTGGGATTTCTGGACAGATTTGGGGTTTTGGGTGGATTTGGGGTCTCTGGGTGGATTTGGGGTCTCTGGGCAGATCTGGGGTATTTTCAGCCGGATTTTTGGGTGGATTTGGGGCATTTCTGGCCAGATTTCAGGCTGCCCTCACTGGCAGAAGGGCGATGCCGTGGGGTCGAAGCCCTTGAAGACGTCCTTGAGCTGGGCTGGGGTTTTGGGTGGATTTGGGGTTTTTGGATGGATTTGGGGTTTCTGGGTCAATTTGGGGTTTCTGGATAGATTTGGGATTTCTAGATGGATTTGGGGTTTTGGGTGGATTTGGGGTTTTGGGTGGATTTGGGGTCTCTGGGTGGATTTGGGGTTTCTGGGTGGATTTGGGGTTTCTGGGTGGATTTGTGGTCTCTGGGTGGATTTGGGGTCTCTGGGCAGATGTGGGGTATTTTCAGCCGGATTTTTGGGTGGATTTGGGGTTTTGGGTGGATTTGGGGTTTCTGGGCAGATCTGGGGTTTCTGGATAGATTTGGGGTCTCTGGATAGATTTGGGGTTTCTGGATGGATTTGGGGTTTCTGGGCAGATCTGGGGTATTTTCAGCCGGATTTTTGGGTGGATTTGGGGTCTCTGGGCAGATCTGGGGTATTTTCAGCCGGATTTTTGGGTGGATTTGGGGCAGTTCTGGCCAGATTTCAGGCTGCCCTCACTGGCAGAAGGGCGACGCCGTGGGGTCGAAGCCCTTGAAGACGTCCTTGAGCGAGGCGGCGTCCTCGGGGGGGTCGTGGCCGGGGCTGTTTCCCGGGAAGGGGCTCCCGGCTCCGGGCCGGGGGCCGTGTTTGGGGCCGGCGCGGCCGTAGAGGGCGGGGGGCACGGGCAGGTTGTGCAGGGCGGGCTGGGGGCTGCCCTCGGGCTGGGCTGGGTTCTGGGGGGCCGGGCGCGGCCGGGGCCGGTTGTAGCTGTTGTACCTGTCTGGGGGCTCCGCCCTGTCCCTGTCCCTGTCCCTGTCCCTGTCCCTGTCGCGGTCGCCGTCGGGCGCCGGCGGCGGCTCCAGCGCCGAGCGCCGCAGGAAGGGCGGCTCGCGGGCCTTGCCGGGCGCTCTCTCTCGCTCTGCGAGGGGCTGGCGTCGCCCCGGGGGCCCTCGGGGCTCTGCGCAGTCCGGGGGTCGTACAGGCTGATGGCGCTCAGGACGCTGCTCTGGCCGCCCCCTCCCCAGCTCAGCCGGGGGTCGTAGGGGGCGATGGCGGGGCCGGAGTCGTCGTCGTCGTCGTCGCCGCCGCCCTCGGGGCCTTTGGCGGTGCCGCCGCTCTCCGGGGGTTTCTGCAGCCGAGGGTCGGCCGGGGGGGTTTTCCTCACGCGGGGGTCGCTGGGTTTGTCCCCCCCCGAGGCGTTGACAGTCTTGAGGATGCGGGAGAGCAGCTCGAAGTCCGGCAGGGAGGAGGAGGAGGACGAGGAGGAGGCCGAGGAAGGGCCCGGCTCGGCCGCCGCGCGCCGCGGGTCCGAGGGCGCCCGCAGCAGCCGGGGGTCCGAGGTTGTGGGGTGGGGGGCGGGCGGCAGGGCCGGGGGGGTCCTGGGGGGGCAGGGGCAGCGGGATGAGGTCCTTGGGGCTCCACAGGACGCTGCGGGCGAAGGGCGGCTTGGGCAGCACGACGGCCTTGCGGATGTGGCTGAACTGCTGCAGCTGCGAGCGGGGGTCGCGCTGGCTCTGCCCGGGCAGCGGCTCCAGGGGGATGCTCAGGGCCTTGTCCCGCAGCAGCCGCTCCCCGTCCTCCTCCTCCTGCTGCTGGGGGGCTCTGCCGGGGGGCGGCTCCGCTTTGGGGGGGCCGTGCCGGGCCAGCCGCGGGTCCGACGGCCCCGGGTCGGCCGCTGACTGGAGCTGCTGGAGCTGCTGGTGCTGCTGGTGCTGCTGGAGCTGCTGGAGCTGCTGGTGCTGCTGGAGGAGCTCGCAATTGCGGGCCAGCCGCGGGTCCCGCAGCCGGGGGTCGGCGGGGCGGGGGGGTCTCTGCAGCCGAGGGTCGCTGGGGGGGTCCCCGGGGGGGTTGGGGGCTCTCCCCGAGCTCTGCTGCCGCAGGGATTTGAGGATGGAGGTGACGCTGCTGCCGCCCTCGTCCTCGTCGCTCGAGTACCAGTTCCCGGGGTCTCCTGCAGGGTGGGGGGAGAGCAGAGTGAGGGAGGGGGGAGATGAGCCCCCAAAACGGGTCCTGCTCAGAAAAAAAACCTGAAATATTCACGGGTTTTCCCAAAAAAAAGGGAAGATCCAGCCCCGATTTCACCCTGAGGGTTTCCAGAGAGCTGGAATAACAATTCCCAGGGATCCCTGGGAGAGATCCCTGAAATATTCATGGGTTTTCCCCAAAAAAAAGGGAAGATTCAGCCCCGATTTCACATCAAGGACTCCTGGAAAGCGGGAATAACAATTCCCAGGGATCTCCTGGGAACAGCGAGAGCAGGACAAGGGAGATGAAAATAAATAAAAAAAACCAAAATGGGACCTCATTGAAAGAGATCCCTGAAATATTCACGGGTTTTCCCCAAAAAAAAGGGAAGATTCAGCCCTGATTTCCCCCCGAGGATTTCCAGAGAGCTGGAATAACAATTCCCAGGGATCTCCTGGGAACAGGGAGAGGCAGAAGGAGGAGAAGAAAGATGAGAAAGGAAGGAGAAAAGCCCTAGATGGGTCCCCAAAAGGTGTTCCTGGGTTTTCCCCCCAAAAAAATGGAAGCTCCAGACTCGCTGGCCTCGATTTCACCCCCCAGAATTCCCAGGAATCCGTAAATGGGCGGCTCTTCCCCTCCCCCAGCCCCATTTCCCCACAATTCAACCCAAAACCCGCCCGGTTCCTCCTCCAACCTCCCAAACCAGCCCTTCCCACTTCCAGGTTTTTGTTCCTAAAAATCCACCCCTCCCCATGGACCCCCAGCCCCACTGAGGTCCTGAGGGGTCGGAGGCATTGGGGAACGGATTGGAGTCAGGATTGGGACTGGTAGGATCTGGGATTGGGGGTGCAGAGGATCAGGATTGTCAAGGATTGGGGGGATCTGGGATTGGGGGGTGCAGAAGGATCAGGATTGGAAGGTGTGGGGGGATCAGGGATTGGGATCGACATGATGCGGGGCAGGGAGGTCAGGATTGGGATCAGGGGGTGATCAGGATTGGAAGATCCAGGGCAATCAGGAGCAGGGGGTGTTCAGGATCGGGATCAGGGTTAGGAGTGGGGGGTGCAGGGGAACTGGGATCAGGGAGTGCTCAGCATTGGGATCAGGGGGTGCACAGGGATCAGGAGTGGGGTCGGGGCTGTAGAAGGATCAGGATCAGGATGGGGGCTGTGGGTGCTCAGGGACCGGGCTCAGAGGATGATTAGGATTGGGATTGGGGGATGAATAGGATCAGGATCAGGACTGAGAGCTGTGTGTGCTGAGGCTCAGGGATCAGGATTGGGGGATGATCAGGATCAGGATCAGGATCAGGGACTGCGTGTGCTGTGGCTCAGGGATCAGGATTGGGGGATGATCAGGATCAGGATCATGATCAGGGGCTGTGTGTGCTGAGGCTCAGGGATCAGGACTGAGGGATGAATAGGATCAGGATCAGGATCAGGGGCTGTGTGTGCTGAGGCTCAGGGATCAGGATTGAGGGAGGATCAGGATCAGGATCAGGACTGAGAGCTGTGTGTGCTGAGGCTCAGGGATCAGGATTGGGGGATGATCAGGATCAGGACTGAGAGCTGTGTGTGCTGAGGCTCAGGGATCAGGACTGAGGGATGAATAGGATCAGGATCAGGATCAGGGGCTGTGTGTGCTGAGGCTCAGGGATCAGGATTGAGGGAGGATCAGGATCAGGATCAGGACTGAGAGCTGTGTGTGCTGAGGCTCAGGGATCAGGATTGGGGGATGATCAGGATCAGGACTGAGAGCTGTGTGTGCTGAGGCTCAGGGATCAGGATTGAGGGATGATCAGGATCAGGATCAGGATCAGGGGCTGTGTGTGCTGAGGCTCAGGGATCAGGATTGGGGGATGATCAGGATCAGGATCAGGATCATGATCAGGGGCTGTGTGTGCTGAGGCTCAGGGATCAGGATTGAGGGATGATCAGGATCAGGATCAGGATCAGGATCAGGGGCTGTGTGTGCTGAGGCTCAGGGATCAAGGATTGAGGAGGATCAGGATCAGGATCAGGGGCTGTGTGTGCTGAGGCTCAGGGATCAGGATTGAGGGAGGATCAGGATCAGGATCAGGGGCTGTGTGTGCTGAGGCTCAGGGATCAGGATTGAGGGAGGATCAGGATCAGGATCAGGATCAGGGGCTGTGTGTGCTGAGGCTCAGGGATCAGGACTGAGGGATGATCAGGATCAGGATCAGGATCAGGATCAGGGGTTGTGTGTGCTGAGGCTCAGGGATCAGCACTGGGGGCTGATTAGAATCAGGATCAGGACTGGGGGCTGTGGGTGCTCAGGGATAGGGATTGGGGGATGATCAGGATCAGGACCGGGAGATGATCAGGATCAGGATCAGGATCAGGATCAGGATCAGGACTGGGGGGCTGTGTGTGCTGAGGGATTGGGACTGGACGCTGTGGGTGCTCAGGGATTGGGACTGGGGAATGATCAGGATCAGGGGGCTGATTAGGATCACGACAGGGGTTGTGTGTGCCCCAGCCCAGGGATCAGGATGAGGGGATGATCAGGATCAGGATCAGGATCAGGATCAGGATCAGGGGGCGTGTGTGCCCCAGCTCAGGGATCGGGATGGGGGCTGTGGGTGCTCAGGGATCAGGATGAGGGGATGATCAGGCTCATGACCAGGCTCAGGGGCTGTGGGTGCTCAGGGATCAGGACTGGGGGATGATTTGGATCAGGACCAGGCTCAGGGATCGGGATGGGGGCTGTGGGTGCTCAGGGATCAGGATTGGGGGATGATTTGGATCAGGACCAGCTCAAAGGATCGAGATGGGAGCTGTAGGTACTCAGGGATCAGGATGAGGGATGATCAGGCTCAGAGACCAGGATCAGGGCTGTAGGTGCTCAGAGATCAGGATGAGATGATCAGGATCAGGACCAGAGATCCAGGAGCTATGAGTACTCAAGAGATCAGGACTAGGGGATAATTAGATCAGCCCAAACTCAAGAGATCGAGATAGAGGCTAGTAGGTACTCAGGGAATCAAGATAAAGAGATAATCAAACTCCAGAGACCAGAACTAGAGATGATCAAGCCCAAACCCAAACTCAGGATCGGGATGGGGGCTGTGGGTGCTCAGGGATCGGGATGAGGGGATGATCAGACTCAGGACCAGGACTGGGGGATGATGAGGACCAGGCCCAGGCTCCCCCCTTGCCTTCCTCGTTGTCCCTGTCCGTTCTCCCGGGCTCTCCGCCCCTGCGGCCGCGCTGCTGCTGTTGCTGCTGCTGCTGCTGCTGCTGCTGCTGCTGCTGCTGCTGCTGCTCGTCCTCCTCGTGCTGCTTGTGCTGGATGCGCAGGAACAGCGCCCGCTGCGCCGACGGCAGGAACTCGGGAATGCCGGGCACGCCGGGGGCCTTGCCCAGCCCGGGGGGGCCCTCGCACAGCCCCTCGGGGTCCAGGGACGGCTCCGGGAACATCGGCTCACCCCCCGGGCCCTCCAGGGGCTCGTACCCGCCGTAGTCATCTGGAAAAGGGGGAAATTGGGGATGAGAAAGGGTTTGGGATGAGAAAGGGTTTGGGATGAGAAAGGGTTTGGGATGAGAAAGGGTTTGGGATGAGAACAAGGATTTGGGATGAGAACAGGGGTTTGGGATGAGAACAGGGATTTGGGATGAGAACAGGGGTTTGGGATGGGAACAGGGGTTTGGGATGGGAACAGGGGTTTGGGATGGGCCATCCTGGTAGCTCCCAGAGCCCCTCGGGGTCCAGGGACGGGTCCGGGAACATCGGCTCACCCCCCGGGCCCTCCAGGGGCTCGTACCCGCCGTAGTCGTCTGGAAAAGGGGGAAATTGGGGGTGAGAAAGGGTTTGGGATGAGAAAGGGTTTGGGATGGGCCATCCCCGTAGCTCCCAGAGCCCCTCGGGGTCCAGGGATGGGTCCAGGAACATCAGATCACCCCCCGGGCCCTCCAGGGGCTCGTACCCGCCGTAGTCGTCTGGGAAAGGGGGGAAAGGGGGAAATTGGGGATGAGAAAGGGTTTGGGATGGGCCATTCCCAGTTTTCCTGCTGCTACAGGAGGCTCCCAGAGCCTCTCGGGGTGCAGGGATGGATCTGGGAACAGGGGATGGATCCTGGAACAGGGAATCCCCCCTGGCCCCTCCAGGGGCTCGTACCCGCTGTAGTCGTCTGAGAGAGGGGAAAGGGGGAAATTTGGGGTGAGAAAGGGTTTGGGATGAGAACAGGGATTTGGGATGGACCATCCCGGTATTCCTGCTGCTACAGGAGGCTCCCAGAGCCCCTCGGGGAGCAGGGATGGATCTGGGAACATCGGCTCACCCCCCGGGCCCTCCAGGGGCTCATACCCGCCGTAGTCGTCTGGGAAAGGGGGGAAAGGGGGAAATTGGGGATGAGAAAGGGTTTGGGATGGGCCATCCCGGTATTGCCACTGCTACAGGAGGCTCCCAGAGCCCCTCGGGGTCCAGGGATGGATCTGGGAACAGGGAATGGATCCTGGAACAGGGAATCCCCCCTGGCCCCTCCAGGGGCTCGTACCCGCTGTAGTTGTCTGAGAGAGGGGAAAGGGAGAAATTGGGGATGAGAACAGGGATTTGGGATGAGAACAGGGATTTGGGATGGGCCATCCCGGTAGCTCCCAGAGCCCCTCGGGGTGCAGGGATGGATCTGGGAACAGGGAATGGATCCTGGAACAGGGAATCCCCCCTGGCCCCTCCAGGGGCTCGTACCCGCTGTAGTCGTCTGAGAGAGGGGAAAGGGGGAAATTTGGGATGAGAAAGGGTTTGGGATGGGCCATTCCCAGTTTTCCTGCTGCTACAGGAGGCTCCCAGAGCCCCTCGGGGTGCAGGGATGGATCTGGGAACAGGGGATGGATCCTGGAACAGGGAATCCCCCCTGGCCCCTCCAGGGGCTCGTACCCGCTGTAGTTGTCTGAGAGAGGGGAAAGGGGGAAATTTGGGGTGAGAAAGGGTTTGGGATGAGAACAGGGATTTGGGATGGGCCATTCCCAGTTTTCCTGCTGCTACAGGAGGCTCCCAGAGCCCTTTGGGGTGCAGGGATGGATCTGGGAACAGGGGATGGATCCTGGAACAGGGAATCCCCCGGGCCCTCCAGGGGCTCGTACCCGCCGTAGTCATCTGGGAGAGGGAAAAAGGGGGAAATTTGGGGTGAGAAAGGGTTTGGGATGAGAACAGGGATTTGGGATGGGCCATTCCCAGTTTTCCTGCTGCTACAGGAGGCTCCCAGAGCCCTTTGGGGTGCAGGGATGGATCTGGGAACAGGGGATGGATCCTGGAACAGGGAATCCCCCCCCCCGGGCCCTCCAGGGGCTCGTACCCGCCGTAGTCATCTGGGAGAGGGGAAAGGGGGAAATTTGGGGTGAGAAAGGGTTTGGGATGGGAACAGGGGTTTGGGATGAGAACAGGGATTTGGGATGGGCCATCCCGGTAGCTCCCAGAGCCCCTCGGGGAGCAGTGATGGATCTGGGAACATCGGTTCACCCCCCGGGCCCTCCAGGGGCTCGTACCCGCCGTAGTCGTCTGAGAGAGGGGAAAGGGGGAAATTTGGGATGAGAAGGAGTTTGGGATGAGAACAGGGATTTGGGATGGGCCATTCCCAGTTTTCCTGCTGCTACAGGAGGCTCCCAGAGCCCTTTGGGGTGCAGGGATGGATCCGGGAACAGGGAATGGACCCTGGAACAAGGAATCCCTCCCTGGCCCCTCCAGGGGCTCGGAGGTGCCTGGGAAAGGGAAGAGGGGCAAATTTGGGATGAGAAGAGGTTTGGGGTGAAAGCATAGATTCAGGACGAGCACAGGGATTTGGGACGAGCCATTCCCAACTTTCCTGCTGTTGGGGGACTCTCAGAGCCCCTCAGAATCCAGGAATACCTCCTGGAATATCAGATCCCCTCACCCTCCACCCCAGCCCCTCGTAATCCCCTGGGGAAGGGAAAAGGGGGGTGAAATGTGGGATGAGAGGAGGGATTTGGGACGAGCGCAGGGATTTGGGATGAGAGCAGGGGTTTGGGATGAGAGCAGGGATCTGGGATGAGAGTAGGGGTTTGGGACGAGCACAGGGATTTGGGACGAGCCATTCCCGGTGCTCCAGGCCCCACCTGGGTCTCCCATCATGCCGGGCTCCATGTCCATGCCCTCCTGGGGGTAGAAGGGGTCGTAGAAGGGCTGTCCCTGCCCCGGCCCCGGCCCCGCTCCCGGTGGGATCATCCCGGAGTGCGGGGGCTCCTCGGGGCCGCCCCCTCCGTAGGGCAGCAGGGGGGGCCCGGGGGGCCCCAGGGGGGGTCCCAGGGGCATCTCGGGGTGCAGGTCGGGGTGCAGCTCGGGGTGCATGTCCGGGTGCAGGTCGGGGTGCAGGGGACCCCCACCCATGGGGCCGGGGGGGCCCCCCGGGCCGGGGAACCGCGGCGGGGGCGGCCCCGGGTGCCTGGAAAACACCGGGAAAAACGGGAATTACGGACACGCATGGGGGAGCCACCCCAGTCCAGGGGAGCCAAAGGTGCTCACCTGGCCCCCAGGTGTCCCCACCTGTCCCCAGGTGCCCTCACCTGTGCCAAGGTATCCCCCAAGTTTCCCCAGGTGCCCTCACCTATCCCCCAAGTTTCCCCAGGTGCCCTTACCTGTCCCCAAGTGTCCCCAGGTACACCCAGGTGCCCTCACCTGTGCCCAGGTACCCACCTGACGCCCAGTTTCTCAGCCAGCTGCCCCGTGGGCCTCACCTGTCCCCAGGTGCCCCCAGGTGCCCTCACCTGTCCCCAGGTGCCCCCAGGTGCCCTCACTTGTCCCCAGGTGTCCCCAGGTGCCCTCACCTGTCCCCAGGTGCCCCCAGGTACCCACCTGACGCCCAGTTTCTCAGCCAGCTGCCCCGTGGGCCTCACCTGTCCCCAGGTACCCCCAGATGCCCTCACCTGTCCCCAGGTACCCCCAGGTGCCCTCACCTGTCCCCAGGTATCCCCAGGTGCCCTCACCTGTCCCCAGGTACCCCCAAGTGCCCTCACCTGTGCCCAGGTACCCACCTGACGCCCAGTTTCTCAGCCAGCTGCCCCGTGGGCCTCACCTGTCCCCAGGTACACCCAGATGCCCCCAGGTACCCCCAGATGCCCTCACCTGTGCCCAGGTGTCCCCAGGTGTCCCCAGGTACCCCCAGGTGTCCCCAGGTGCCCTCACCTGTCCCCAGGTGCCCTCACCTGTGCCCAGGTACCCACCTGACGCCCAGTTTCTCAGCCAGCTGCCCCGTGGGCCTCACCTGTCCCCAGGTACCCCCAGGTGCCCTCACCTGTCCCCAGGTACCCCCAGGTACCCACCTGACGCCCAGTTTCTCAGCCAGCTGCCCCGTGGGCCTCACCTGTCCCCAGGTACCCCCAGGTGTCCCCAGGTGCCCTCACCTGCGCCCAGGTACCCACCTGACGCCCAGTTTCTCAGCCAGCTGCCCTGTGGGCCCCACCTGTCTCCAGGTGCCCCCAGATGCCCTCACCTGTTCCCAGGTACCCACCTGACGCCCAGTTTCTCAGCCAGCTGCCCCGTGGGCCTCACCTGTCCCCAGGTACCCCCAGGTGTCCCCAGGTACCCCCAGGCGCCCTCACCTGTCTCCAGCTGTTCTCACCTGTCCCCAGGTGCCCCCAGGTGTCCCCAGGTGCCCTCACCTGTCCCCAGGTACCCCCACGTGCCCTCACCTGTCCCCAGGTGCCCCCAGGTGCCCTCACTTGTC